GGGCAGATGTGGCCCATCACTGGGAGAGCAGCCCGCGCCCACCCCATGCACACAGCTCTGCCCGTGGGTCTCCATCCCCACCTCCCCTCCCCAGAGGGCACCCCTAATTCCTGGTGCCTGTCCCTTGCACACCCCCAGCCCAGCCCCTCGGCCCCTGCCCTACCTCACGTAGAGCGAGATGGGCACCACAGTGTTGAGGATGATGATGTAGGACCAGAAGGAGAGGAAGCCGGAGAAGAAGGCACTGTGCACCCCCTCGTCCCAGGGCAGGTAGATCTGGAAGCAGACGCCCACCTCGTGCTCCCAGATGGCGTTGCCGATGGCCAGGATCACCCCCATGCACACCAGGAACCCGAAGATCTGGGGACAGGATGGGACATCAGAGCCCCAACCGGGCCAGAGCCAGGGCTCCCCGGAACTCACCTGCCTTCCACGTACCCAGAGCACCAGCGTGTTCATCAGCCGATCGATGCTCGTCCGTTTGAACTTGGTCCGGCCGCTGTTCTGCATCAGTTTTGTGTCAGGCCCTGGGGAGGGAGAAGGGCGTCAGGGCGGGGGGTCTCTCCCCCCCGCGCAGCGCAGCGGTGGCAGCTGCCCCAGCCCACCTGCAAAGATGACGAGGCCAAAGCACCACTCGGTGTTGCGCAGGACACAGCCCCGCAGCAGCATGTTCTGGTTGCTCAGGGGATACTTGCTCTCTTTCCAGTACAGCGTCCCACCAAACTTGTCCAGCTTGTTGTTGGGGGGTTCACAGATCACCTCACCTGGGCGCAGGGGAGGGCTTGGCTGTAACGTGCCTTCTCCACTTGGCCAGCTCCATCCCAGCGCTCCCAGCACCGGCCCCAGCTCCCCAGAGATCCACTTAAAGGACCACAACACCGCGTGCATATGGCCCTGGTCTCTCCAGGGCGGACTCACGCCAGGTGAGGGAGGAGGAAACCATCGCAGAGGACCAGCTGCAAGCACTCACCATCAAACCGAGCCAGCTTGCTGGTGTCACCCAGCTCCGAGGTGACGGGGATGGCCTGCCGCACCTTCATGTTGGTCTCTCTGCGGGCAAGGAGGGACCGTGCGCGGGGTTTAGCGACGGCCTGGCAGGGAGGGCCTTCACAGATGCTCCCCGATTTCAGGCTCCGGGCAGCTCCTGCCCTGGCCACAGCTCGTTCTCACTCCTACCTCTTGCCTTCCCTCGCCAGCCGAGGCGAGCAGGGGTTACCTACCCGTCCAGCTCCGCGGTCTCTATGTAGCACAACCCATGGGGTTCGCTGCTGGAGAGGAGGAGGAGGTCAGCCTGTAGGGAGAGACACACAAAGTGTTGTGCTGACACTGGGGCTCCCCTACGCCTTCCCCAGAGAAGCTCCTGGCCCTCAGACACTGAAGGCTGGCAGGATCTCTGGAGCCGTGTGTCCTTATCGCAGGGTGCTGCTGGCACCCTGGCCTGGATACCATCGCCTAAAGTGCCCACACCACCCAAAATCCTGAGCTCAAACACGATTTCAAACACTACAACCGAAAATGCAGCTTCCAGGCTGGAAAAGTCCGTGACGTCTCCACCCCAGGAGGTGATGGAGGAGCACAAAAGCAGAGCGGGCGCAGCCCCACGCCGTGCTCCTGTCCCTGTGTGCTACCCAGCTGGGACCGTGCTCATCTCGGGGCCACACTCACCGCCACGAACTGGTTGTTCTCCAATTTGATGATGTCTCCGACACGGACATTCATCCACTGCTCCTGCCGGAGGCTGCAGAGGGACGGTGGAGCGGAGTTAGGCAGGATCTGATAGCATTGCCTCTCCCCCCACCCCACCGTGCTCTGCTCCTCCCTGCAGCCCTGTGCCACGTCCCGCAGGGCCCCGTGTCCCCTCCCCACGACACTCACACTCCGCTGATCAGCACCTGAGACTGCCGGTTGTTCACCTGGTTGTCGCTTTTATGGCGGAACTGGGGACGGAGGGGAAGAGACAGCAGCGTCAGCCCCTCTGGGGACGGGGTCCTGCGTCCCTCCCCCTGCAAATGCCACGGCCGTGGGCACCGCACACCCTCGCCCCGGTCACAGCCCCCCTGCCCAGCCCCAAAGTCCCCACGCCCAGGCAGCAGCAGGCAGCCAGCCCAGGTAAAGGGGTGCGTGGGGGGCCACTCACATAGTCGTCGGTGGCATCTTTGACAGCTGTGATGGTTAAGACAAGAACCAAAGGCACGATGGTGGTGAACCAGGAGAGGGAAGAGATCTGGGGGATCAGCTGGGGACAGAGAGCGGGAGTTAGAGGGGATCAGGCCAGCCCCAGACCCACGCTACCCCTGCTCAGGGGTGCCAAACCCATCGCTTCCCAGGGGCGGGATGTGCCCTGGGCCCTCCCGGCTGCCCCAGAGTGTGTGGGGGGGCCCCATCTGCTTCCTCAACCCTCCCAGCACTCACCTGCAGGATGAGGAGGAAGAGGAAATAGGTGTTGGCCACTTCCTGGAACTGCTCGAAGAGGTTGACGGGCAGGAAGGTGACAATGTTGTACTTGGAGGTCTTGATGCAGTTGCTCTGGGGATGGATGGGGCGAGAAGGGGGTTCACAAGTTGCCAAGGCCCCATGACCCCCCCAGCGTCGCTCTGGGGGCAGGGCTGCAGCTCCCCGTAGCCCTAATTCGGGAACCCTGGACGACAGCCTGGACCCCCCACTCCTGCCCCTGCTCTAACTTCGCGACAGCTTCCTTGAGAAGCGGATTCCTCCACCTCGGTCGCCAGCCGGGACCCAGGGACCGGCCTCCTTCGGCAGCAGCACCCGGAGCATCCGGCTGGCAGCACCCAGCCCCCCCCAAGGGTCACCCCAACCCAGACCCCCTGCTCCCCATAGCGAGGCCAAGGCAGGGCCTGTTCTGGAGCAGCCAGAAATAACCTCCAGCGTGGAGGGGGGAGGCCAAGGTGAGCGGTGCCCCTCCCCCAGCGGCTCGTTAATTAGCCAGACACAGAACCCCATCAGGGGACCGGGCAGGGGTGCAGGCAGCGCTGGGGGGTTTTGGGCCCCAGCAGAGGATGGAGGGGCTGCATAACCCCCAGTCAGACCGCACCGTGCCCCCCTCCAGCAGGCTGCCCCGGCCCCAGAGCTCCGTTGGCGTTAATGGCTTGTCAGCACAATTTTCTCAGGGACAAACATCTATTTTTAGCTGTAACCCCCCACCCCCCTTCCCCTCCACTGACCCAGAGGGTGACGCAGGCCCCAGCCCCCCAAACCTGCCCGAGCCGTGGGACAAGGCCCCAGGGGAGGGGGCTCAGCCTCCCCACTCACCGCGTACTGGAACTTCTCGTTGTACTCCCGCGCGTTGGCTCGCACCCGCCTCTCCTCCTCTGCAACACAGTGCACCCCATCAGCCTCACACCCCTGCACCCCCAGGCCCCTCCTCTGCACCCCCAGACCCCCCCACTCTGCAACCTGCCAGCCCTACTCCCTTGCACCCCAAAAGACCCCTCGGGCAAGCCCGGGAGCCCCAGACCCCCAGGGGAACAGGGAAGCCCCCCAGCTGTGTCATGTGGCCCTGTGCTCCCCCCATGCCAGGACCCGTACCCCTGCACCCCCAGCCCTCTTCTGCACCCCCAGACCACCAGCCCCCACATCCCCAGACCCCCAAGCCCTGCATTCTTAGACCCCCAGCCTTACTCATCTACACCCCCAGAGCCCCAGCGCTGCACCCTAGACCCCCAGCCCTCCTCTTCTGCACCCCCAGACCCCTGGCCCTGCACCCTCAGATCCGCAGCCTTACTTCTCTGCACCCCCAGCCCTGGATAGCTGCCCCCCCGCCCAGACCCCTCCAGCCCTGCACCCCCAGTCCCCCAGCCTTCTCTGTACCCCCCCAGCCCTGTCCCCCAGCCCTGCACCCCCAGACCCCCAGCCTTCTCTGCACCCCAGCCCGCTCCAGCCTTGCTTCTCTGCACCCCTAGACCCCACAGCCCTGCACCCCCAGCTTTGTTTCTCTGCACCCCCAGCCCTGGATAGCTGCCCCCCCAGACCCCTCCAGCTCTGTACCCCCAGATGACCCCCAGCCTTACTGCTCTGCACCCCCAGGCCCCCAGCCCTGCACCCCCAGACCTCCAGCTTTGCTTCTCTGCACCCCCACACTCCTCCAGCCCTGCATTCCCAGCCTCAGTTCTCTGCACCCCAGCCCCCCCCCCCCCCCCCCCCCCCCCCCAGTCCTGTACCCCCAGACCCCCAACTTTGCTTCTGTGCACCCCCAGCCCTGGACAGCTGCCCCCCCCAGACCCCCAGCCCTGCACCCCCAGACCCCCAGCCTTACTTCTCTGCCCCCCCCGGCCCCGCACGCACCCGCCCCGCCGGGGGCGCGGACCCGCGGCCACTTCTCGGGCATCTCCCGGGGCACCGTCACGGCTGCGGGCCCGCGGCGAGCCCCGGCGGCTCCATCCCGCGCTGCCGCCGCCGGTGCCCCGGCTCGGGCCCTCCCGCCCCGCCCCGCCGCGTTGCCGGGGCAACGGCCGCACCGGGGCCCACCGGGGCCTACCGGGGCCTACCGGAGCCCCGCCCCGCCCCGCCCCGCTCCGCTCACCTGGGGCCCGGCGGGCCGCGCACCGCTCCATGGCCCGCGGCCCCGCAGCCCATGGGGAGCGGGCGGCCGGGGCCGGTGCCCGGTGCCCGGTGCCGGGGCCGCTGCGGCCCCGCTGCCGCTGCCGCGCTGCCGCCGCCGCCTCAGCGCCCCATGGCCGCGGCGGCGCCGGTCGGCGGCGGAAGTGATGGGGGGGGGGGGGACGGACGGACGGGGCGGCGGCGGGGGGGGTTCCCGGGGAGCGGCGGGGGTGGGTGCGGAGTGACAACCCCGGGAGGTGCAGGGGCAGCGGCGGGGGGGGGGGGACGGGACAGGACATGGGGACACCCCCCCCCCCTCGGCAGCACATCCCCCCCAGGTCCCCCCAAAGCCAGGCCGGATCTGCCCCCCCCCCCCCTCCTTGAGCTGCCACCCCCCGCATCCAGACACAAGACACCCCATGTCCTCAAGGCTCTTTTAATGTTGTAATGGGGACTTTGGGGAGACACCCCCCCCCCCCCCCCAACCCCCAAGCCACCGAGTCTGGGTGGCGGAGGGGTCCCCAGCGTCACTTCTTCTGGGGCGGCAGCATCCCCCCGGTGTCCTTCTCCCGGGGCGACATGGCGATGTCCGGGGGGACGGTGGCGTTGACGAGGACCAGAGAGCTCTGCGTGGCGGGGGGGTCACCCTCCTCGCCCGGGTGGTGGAAAGCCACGAGGAGCTGGTAAAGGGCCGAGCCCACCGCGGCCCCCAGCAGCGGTGCCGCCACCGGCACCCACCACCACCCATTGCCCCTGCTGGGGACGGGGCACGGTGGGCAGGGGGGTCACCCCTGCCACCCCCCCACCTCGCCCCCTTTCCCCCTACCCACCTGAAGACCTCCGCGCCCCAACCCGCCACGTAGGTGAAGAGCCGGGGCCCGAAATCCCGTGCGGGGTTGATGGGGCAGCCGCAGTTGGAGCCCATGGAGATCTCGATGGAGAACACCAGCAGGGCCACGGCCACCGGCTCCAAGCCCTTGGGGACACCCTTGTTGCGGGTGTCCAGGATGGCAAGGATGCCCAGGATCAGCAGCGCCGTGCCCATCACCTGCGGGGCCAGCACCGCAGCTCAGCACCGCAGGGACCGGCACCGCCGGAGGGGGTCAGGGGGGAGCCGACACCGGCACCCACCTGGTCCAAGAAGCCGTTGGAGAGGGAGAGGTAGTCAGCGGGGTAGGTGGCAAAGATGGAGGCGGTTTCCCGGGGGCCGGAGGTGGCGAGGGTCCCGTTGCTGTAGTGCTGGATGGCGTCTGCGGAGCAAAGGCAGAGCCCGGCTCTGAGCCCAGCCACCCCAGCACAGCCCGTGGTCTTCCTCACTGGGCTCCCCCCCCTGTACCGTAGTAGAGGGCGTAGACGGCTCCGGCGGCGATGAAAGCTCCCGAGGTCTGCACGGCCACGAAAATGGGAAACTTCCACCAAGGAAGCTGCTCCAGCAGGCACATGGCGAGGGAGAACGCCGGATTCAGGTGGGCCCCTGCAAGAGAGCGGGGAGAGGGGCTGGGGGTCCTGGGGGGCGTGGAGCTGGGGGTCGACAGGAGCTGGAATCCCCTCCCCAGCCTCACCGGAGACTCCCCCCGCCGTGTAGATGGCCACCATGACGGCCAGGGCACCTGCCAGGTTGGCGGTGAGGATGTTCCCCTTTGTCCCGGAGCTGGTGACCATCTGTGCCGAGCCACTCAGGGTGATCAGCTGGAGAAGAGGGACACGGCTTCACCACGGCCCCCCTAACCCCTCACTGAGCCCCCCCCCCCCGCTCCCCAAGCCGCACCACAGCCGCTGGTGGGCTCAGTGAGGCGAGGGCTGCCCTGGTGCCTCTGCCCACGCCATCTCCACGGCTTTTGCTCCCCCATCTCCTGGGCTCCAGCTTTGGGCGCTGGACAAGGTCAGGCAGGGAGGTGGTTACTGGTCCTGCTTGTGGTTTTGACAGCACAGTAAACAAATTATCGGCAATTAAGTAATCATCTTCCCTGGGGAGATGGCAGGGAAGGGATGCTGCCAGCACAGCCGTGGTGTCAGCGTTTGCCATTGCGGGATGCAGCCTGTCTGAGCGCGGCTCCAGAGCCCCAACCTTTGCCTGCTCCGGGGCAGGGAGGTGTCAAGGCAGACGCGCTCCCTTGGGATCTCATCACGTCCCCACACTGCTGGAGCAGGGTCCAAGCCAGGGGCTGGGCAGTGCCGAGTCACTCGGTGAGTGTGGAGAAGCCCCGAACCCTGCCCTGAGGAGCCCTGCCACCCTTGGCACCCGCCACCACCCCCCGGCCCACCCGCGTGCCCCACTCACGATGAGCACGAAGACGGCCAGCAGCTCAGCCAGGCACTCCCGCGCCAGCTGGTTCTGGACACGGAGCAGAGCCTGGGCCCTTTTTAAAAAGGAAGAAGCGCCCATGGGGCCGGCTGGTCACGGGCAGCAGCGGCAGCAGCGTTGGTGTCTCCGTCCCGGTGCGATTTTATGAGCCCCGGGGCTGGGGTGGGTGATAACACGCAGACTTTAAACCAACCAGGGCCACATCGCAGGGAGACGCCTGGCAGGGACCAGAGTCCCACGTGGGGCCAGGGACGGCAGCGCCTTGAGATGACGGAGTCCCCTGGTAGGACCAGACCCGGTGGGAAGCCCTGAGAGGCCACGGGGAACCAAAACCTCGCTCAGGTGAGCTGGCACAAGCGTTTCCCCTCTGGGGAACCCCCCCTTTTTCCCTGCCAGATCCCTGCCCAAGCCACAGCTGCAGGCAGCGCTAATGAAGAGGCCTTGGAAAGGCTCCCAGGATGGGCCCTCGAGGGAGGTGTTTGCGCAGCGCCGGGCAGGCGGGGAAATGGGAGAGGGAGGTGGGCAGGGAGCCAGGGCAGAGGAGCCCAGCATCTGCCTGCACCCGTGGGGCAGCCCCCAGGAGCCACGCGGGCCCCTGCCTCCAAACAGAAAGAGCCTGGCAAGTCACTGTTAGCATAAATAGATTTTATTGCTCTGCACACACGCACGCGCGCTCAGCCCCCACGGCTCCCCCGAAGGTGGGGAGCCCCCAGCCTGGGCGCCAGCTCCCAGCAGGATCTGACCCATCTGCAACAAAAACAGGCAGTGAGAAGAGGCTGCTGCCCACTGCCCGCCCTGGGTGGAGCTGGCACCCATCCCCACAGCCCCAGGGTCCCCCCGCACCCATTGCACATACAGGGTGCTCAGCTGGGGTTGGAGGGGGGAGGTCCACAGCTACCAGCTGGAGAACCAGCGTCGGAAGAAGCTGCCCAGCGTGGACGAGGGGTCGCTCAGGTTGGGAGCACGGAGCTCGTCTGGCTGCGGCCACGTGCCCGCGAACTGCGCCAGCTCCCCTGGGAGAGCGGGGACGGGTCACTCAGAGGAGACCCCGGCCCGCTCCCCTCGCCCCTCCTCAGCGCCCCACTCACGGTCGTCCATGTTGACCACCTCTTCCCGGTAGTCCTTGCTCTGCCCGTCCTCCTTGGTGGTGGTGATGAAGGCTTGGTCTCCCCTCCGGCGCGTCACCGTCGTTTCTCGGCGGCCCTGGCTATCCTGCACGGTCCGGCGTTCCTCCACCGCCTGCGCAGAGCACCGAGCCCTGAGAGACGTCGCCACCCCCGGGCTCTGCTCCTCGCAGGGTCACCCACTACTGTACCCCCCAGGGGACACTCACCCCATCCGGGAGAGTCACTTTGGTGACCGAGACGCTCTGGAAATAAGAGCGGGACTTGGGCTCCTCGGGTCTCAGGATGGTCCCCAGCCCCGCCGAGGAGACCTGGGAGTCCAGATCTGTGGGGGGGAGATGGGGGACGGTGGGGACGCGCCCCGACGGCTGTGGGAGCACGGGGAGGGTGGGGGGAACGGGGAAGGCAGAGGCCTCGTGGCCTCGCTCCCACCTTGGTCTTCCTTGAGGCCAGGAGGAGCCGGGCGAGCGTCTTCCAGCTGCAAAATAAAGCCCCGCGCCGGTGATGGGGAAGCAAAGCGTGACACCGCGCCGGGACGGCTGCGGCAGGCGAGCCCGCGCGGGGCAGAGCCCTCACCCACCCCCGGGAAGGGTCTCCAGGGCCAGGCCGGGTCACTGCGGTGCTCGGGACCCTCCGGGGATGCGCTGGAAGCGGAACCATCCGGCTGCTTCAGCATAGAATCCCGCAGCGGCCGCCCCGCGCCGGGCTCGCTGGGGCCGGGCTGGGGGGGCTCTGGGGTGGAAAAAGCAGGGGGAGTCGGGTCAGGTTGGGTGACCCCAGGGGCTACCCCCAAAGCCCCGCTCAGCCCCGGCCCGGGGCAGCCCCTTCCCGTCCCCACCGATGGGGTGCGGAGCCCCGGGCCAGGCCCCCCCGAAGACCCCCAGGAGCTCGCCCACGTCCCGGAACAGCCCCTCGAAGGCGCCGCGGGAGCCGCCGGGGCTGAAGCCGAAGCCGAAGGCGAAGTCCGGGGGGGGCTGCGCCAGAGACGGGCCGTCATCTTCCTCCTCCTCCTCCTCCTCGTCCCACGCCGTGCCGCCGAAGAGCGGGTCCCGGGGCCTGGGGGATCGCGGCGCTGAGACACCGGGGCCCGGAGCAACCGAGGGCCGCTCCGGGTCAGGACCCGCGGGGCAAGAGGGGAAACCGGAGGGGGAACGGGAGCGGGCGCCGAGTCGGGGGGTGGCCGAGGTGCCGGTACCTGCAGCGCCCCGGGAACCCGAAGAAGCCGCGAAACGCGTCGTAAAAATTCATCGCGCTGCAGCCGCCGCCGGCGGGCCCGGGAGGAGCTGCCGTAAAGCGGCGGCGCCGCGCAGCGCCGCAAAGCGCCGCCGGGTGTCGTGAGGCGCCGCGGCCCGGAGGGACCGGGATCCGCCGGGCACCCGGTAACCACCGGGGGTTCCCCCCTCGAAGAGCCCGAAGCGGTGCGGCCGTGCTGGGAGGGGGCCGCACAGCCCCCGGAGGGGACTGGGGGGCTCCGGGCTTCATCCTGCACCGCCCAGGGGTCCTGCAGGCGGGCCCCCCAAGCTCTGTTTTGGGGGGGGGGGGGGCTTAAGCCAGCTCCAGCTCCGTGTGTCCCCCCCATACTGAGAGAGGGGCTCCCCCAAACCCCAGCCCCTCAACTCACGGCTCAGCTCCCCTCGGACAGCACAGGGGCTGGGCACCCACAGCTTCCTGTCACCCCACTAACGGGGACAGTCCCCTCCCTAGGGTTGGGGACCCCCCTCTGGGACCCCCAGTCCCACCCCGAGGCCCTGATGGTGACAAAGAGGGGGTGCACCCGTAGCACCAGAGCAGGGGGGCAACTGGGACCACACAGGCAGAGAAACGGGGGTCCCTGGCCCAGGGAAGGGACAGGGAAAAGGATGGTAATGATGTCCTTGTGTTGGGATCCTGGGAGCCAGCGCCACAAAAAAAAAAAAAATCCCGTAAAAAATCCAGAAAAGGGCGGGGGGGAAAAAAGAGCCAAAAAAATCTGGGGACGGGTGGGGGGGAAACCACCCCACCACCACCCTCACCCAGGGCCTCCCGTACCCTGCACCGAAAATACGGAACCAGGCTGAGAAGGTAGGTATTAAAAAATACACACGTCACTTTGTGATCTTTATTCTCTTTAGTAAATCACCCGCAGCGGGGCTTCAGTTGAAGTGACCAGTTTGAACTGAAAAATACAAGATTTGGACTGCATAGAAAAAAAATAAATGACAAAAAAAAAAAAACCAAACCAAAACAAAACCAAAAGCAGAAGATACTTACAGCGTGCAAGGAGGGGGCAGGACCTGCACTCGGGGCCTGGGGGGGGAGGGAGGGGACGCAGATGGAGAACGTAAAATAAGGGGGGGGTGCCCTCCAGGGCGGTGGCAGAGAGCAGTGGAGGGTGGGCGAGGAAAAGAGAGAACTACAGGACGGCGTGGGGTTTTTGTTTTTATATACAAGACACATTTATCCATTAAATTTAGAACACGGTACAAAAAAACACTTCAACTAATTAATCTTACAATGCTGTTCATATCAATTACTGTTCTTATTCCTAATAATAAGGGGGTTTGCTGTAGGCGACTCGCAGCTTCCACTCCTTTGGATCCGAGAGGTTCTGGGGCAGCAGGAGGTGGGGGGAGAGGGGAGAAAGGAGTAAAAACCAAAAAAGGCCCCTACGGCAAACGGTTCAGAATCTGAATGCAGAGAGAGAGAGAGAGAGAGAGAGAGAAAGAGAAAAAAAAAAAAAAAAAAAAAGAAAAAGAAAAAAATACAAATTCTATATTACATACAACAGGAAAGGTGGCTGAAGACGGACAACGCAGAGCTGCCCGCCGGCCTGCCCTGCCCGGGGGCTGCGGGGCCCGGGCGCTGCCCCGCGGCAGGACGCTCTCCTCCCCAGGATCCTTCGGCGTTGGGTTCGTTGGGATTCTCTTCTGGAAGCAAGTGGTGGGCGAGGGCCGCCCCGGGCTCAGTTGGCGCCCCAGCTGTAGCTGTTGTAGGCAGACTTGTTGGCCTGGGATTTCTGGGGGATGGAGCTGCCTTGGCTGCGCTGCCCGGAGCCGCTCTGCGGGAAGGAGGGGGGGGGGGGGGGGCGAGAAGGAGAAGCAGGCGGTTATCGGAGGGGATGGGGGGGTGCCGCTGCCTCCGGGGTCCCAACCCCTGGCGTGCCTCAGGCGGCTCTGCCGCGGACGCTGCGGGCTACGGCTCCTCGGAATCACTGACCCGCCTCAGCCCAGCGCAAGCTCCCTGGGGCCAGGGCACGGGCCACCTCCTGCACCGAGCAGCCGGCCGGTGGCCCAGCAGCCACAGGACCCTCCCTCGGCTCAGCACCTTCCTCCAGAGCAGCACCGTGCCAGGACCCCGCAGCTCTGCCGTGCGGCGGTGGGGGGGGGGAAAGGGTGGGGAAAGGGGTCGAGCAGGGGGGTGTGTGTCTGTGCCCGCGGGTGTGTGTGTGTGCACATACTGACTGAGGGTCTCTCTCCTCGCCTGGCGGGGCCACGGGTGGGGAGAAGGAAGGGGCTACGTGAGCCTGGGGGGCCTTAGGGGCGGGGGGAGACCCCAGGGCAAGTGCAATGCATTATCAGAGAGGTTCATTACCTGGTCTTCCTGCTGGCGTTGGCAGCACAGTATCATCTGCAAATATGGAAGCTGTTGCAGTACCAGGATATGTAAAAATAAAGGGACAAACTATGACAATAGAAATCCACGGTTAGACCTGAAAGCTACGGCAGGGTCGTGGCTGTGGCGAGTAACCCCTTCGCTGCTGGCCTGCGGAGCCGCCACTCCGAGGAAGGGGGAGGTCGGGGCGTACCAGGCATGTCTGCGTGAAGGGGCACTACCCGACCGTACCTGGTACAGCCCGGCAGCAAGGGGGCTGGGCCGAGGACCCCCCAAAGCGGAGCGCACCCCGGGCCTTCCTCACCTCATCCTCTTATCAGCCCTGTGTGTATGTGCAGGTGTGAAGCATGTGCGTGTCACCGCGTGTCCACGTGTGTCCGCCGCAGGGCGTGAGGGAGGGAGGGAGAAGGGGGGGGGCCAGGGGGGTAGCGAGAGCCCTAAGGAGATACCCCAGCAAGGGCCGGGGGGCCGGGGGGGGCATTGCTTACCTGCCCGTCCTGCTGCAGGTGGTGGTGGAGGATCTGCGAGTGGGGCTGCTGATGCGGGGTCAGGATGTGCATGAAAGGGGTGGGGGGGTACGCCGCCGCCGTCGCAGGGTTGATGGGGCCGCCGCTGCCCAGCGCTGAAGGCAGGTTGAAGGAGGCTGCCGGGGTTCCAGTGTGAAATCCCTGCTTCTCGAAGGATTGCTGAGGAGGAGACACCGACGGCGGAGGAGTAAGGGCTGGGAGCTGGGCAGCGTGCCCCCTTCCCAGCTCCGCAAGTCACGGGCCTGGGAGTCAGTGGGTGGTGCAGAGAACAGGCAGAGTCTCTGCCTATGGCTCTTCCTGGGCTTGGAATTGCTCTAAGCTGGGAAAGGCCGAGCATTTCCCTCCTCCCTGGCTGGCTGCTCCAAGGGGAAGAGACATCATTACCCAGGGAGGCCATCTCAGAGCTGGGCTTCCACTTCCCAAAGTGGCACCTTCCTGGAACACACTACAGACACTAACCTGAGTTTTGGAGTAGACAGAGCCCGAGATGTCCGGCACTCCTGTATTACTGGATGTCACAGATACACCTGGGGAGGAGGAGGAAAGGCAAATGAGCATTAGGCAGCAGCCACTGGTTCAGCAAGAGCTACTGCTGCTAACGCCAGCATCAGGTCATGGAGCTCTGGTGACCCAGCAGCCAGGTGAGGTTTGGAGACAGACGTGATCTAGGGAGCAGGGTCTTGGCAAGGCCAAGCTGTAAAGCACCTGTACGAGTGCAAGTTTTTTAGCTCTGGACACAAGCAGTTTCTGAATACCTCCAGGAACAAATTTAGGGGCCTGCTGCCACCCAGAGAAATGCACATTCTTGAAGAGCCCAGAAAATAGCAACTCAGAGAAGAGCTGGGAGGATGCAGACGACATACAAGGAAACAAACTCCCAGCATGACATGGCAGCAAGAACAGCCCAAGAGCTCCCTGGATGTAAAACAGGCAATTGCATGTAAAGGCAACTCGACTGTGGGCTGGGCTGGTTGGTGCAATGACGGGCAACACTGGCACACAGCCCACATTTGATGCTGGCTGTTTCTAAAAGGTGGTGGCACAGAGGAAAAAGCCTCAGCAATCATTTAAGGCCTGGAAAAAGTGTTGAAATAGAAGAGGTTTGAAAGACTTGGCACCAGGTGACCTGGTACACAGCCAAAGTATCTTTGCAAAGAGAAAACAGTGTCTTGAAGAGCTCTAATGTAGTGAAAAAAGGCACAACAGGAATTTAAAGGCTGGAAGAGGGACCCAAATGCAGGCCCTCTAAGTCAGCCAGACATTATCCAGTGAAAGTCAGTGCTGAGTCAAGTGGCAGGTTTGTGACCTTCTTGCGTCTTTGAACCAAGAAGGACACTTCTTTAGAAAGCAGACATCTGCCAAACACAGGAGTCAAACAAGTTCCCAGGCTCAAATCTGGAATAATTATTGTTCTGTTGATCACATACAGGCAGTACGCAAAAAAAAAAACCACACCAACACCCACAAACAACAAAACCAAACCACCCAAACCCCAAACAACTCAGCAGCTTAAGCTTCTCTGATGCAAGTCCAAGGCCCCAGCCACTCAACTGCTTGGCACAGAGGAAGGCAGGAATGCCCTGTGCTCCTCAAACCTTCTCTAGACCTGGAGGCAGCCCAAGCCTGGGCCTTTCCAAGGAGAATCAAATGACCTGAGAGTTGCACCATGCCCATTTTCCTCCCTTACTGCTGGGGGCAGCGAGACAAAAGTCCCCTTACACAGCCTGTGAGAGTGTGGACAAGCCCTGCCACTGTCAGTAACCGCTGCTGAGAAAGATGCTCTGTTGGGTCTCTTACCAGTGCTGTATCCATGGGAGCCATAGCCACTGGGCTGCTGAAAAGGGGTTGCTGATGCGTTGACGCTGACATTCACACCGTGCTGCTTGGAAGAGGTAGGAGCAACCTACGGAAAGAAGAGGAGCAGAGTGAGGAGAGGCTTTGCTGCGTTGCCCGAATCCCACAGCCTGTCTCTGGGCAACTCACAGGGAACACGGCGGGCCCGTATTGGAAGGTGCTGGGGAGCCCTGGTACCCCTGTGTAGTACGGCAGACTGGTGTAACTGTAGCCAGGAGGCAGCGCTGGGTTCAGGAACGTCTGCTGCGTGGTGTGGTGAGTCTGGGTCTGGCTCTGCTGAGGCTGGGCCAAAGTCGTTGCAGGAGCAGGGGAAGAGGCATCACCTCGGCCAAATTTTGTTAAGTCACCTGGAATAGAGGAGATGAAAAGGGACTGAAGAACAGACGTGTCAAATCCTGGCCCATTCTAGCTCAGCCCAAAGCTGACCCAGCCTTTTGATCAAAAGGTGACTTGAATCAACATCCCCCCTCCCCCTACAGCTACTAAGGACTGCAGCTCTCCCAAGCCCTCAGACCCTTGCATGCTGATAAGGCTAAGCTGTTAATTGCTCTCCTCATTCCTGAGAGGATGACTTCAGAGGGGAAAGGAAACCCACAGCAGCTAAATTACATGTCAGCCTACAATCTGGTGCTGGATAAACCCGCTACTGCCTGCGCAGCAACAGAGCCCAGATGCTAGAACTCTCCCAAAGCCCCCTCCATGCATCAGCAGCAGGCCTCAACAACTCGATTCCCTCCAGAGGCAGAGCAGAGGCCAGGGCAGCAGCCTGGGGGCCCTGTCCTACCAGCAAACAGCTCCTCTTTGAAGAAGAGAGTCAAATATCTTCCAGCTGAGGATGTGTGAATGGCCCCTTTTTACAGCAGGGCTCACACCTCCCTCTCTCTGGCTGGCGGCACCAAATCAAATGCTGCTGCAGAGGCCCAGGAGCCCGAAGAGAACGCTCAGAAATATCCCTCTCTTCCCAGTCGGGGCACTGAGGGCTTAGCTGCAGGGCTCGGGGAAGCTCCCGTTGCTGCTCTTCATGAGCACCTGCTTGGCTCTTCCACGCAAACACTCTCTCTATTCAGAGCTCGCACAGTAAGGCAGTGAATTTCTCAGTGCTGCCTCAGCTCACAAGCGAGTCCAGGATAGCCACAAACATTAATTACCACTGATGTTAACTTGGCAAATTATGCATGCAGCAGTGCCGCACTCTGAGCTTGGGATTTCAAGCCTCAGTGTGCCAGGCAAAAGCACTTCCGCACAAACAAGCTCCTGCTGAAGCAGGGGAGAAGTGGTGCTGGAAAAAAAGCGATCCACAAAGTGCAGCAATTCCTAAAGCACATGAAAGCTCAGCACAACTGCTGCCCACTGCGAATCAGCAGTGTGAATAAACACACCTAACAAGGTCAATGAGAGATAAGCCACTCACTGGGCATTTGGTTTGAATTTGACAGGTCCTAAATGCCCCGTTTTCTTTCTCCATGAGACTGCCACATAGATAGAAAAACTCACTTAATTTCTCAAGATTTTGTGCTTCTTTGTATTTTTACTCTTGGGTGCTTGAGAAGCACTGCTTAGCCCCTGCCTCACCATGACCTAAAAAGCAGTTTTACACATCTCAGATTCTTTCAGCCCTTCCTCACTCCCTTTCCAGCAGCAGCATCAACTCCTGCTTGTCCACATCTTTCTGGTGACATGCCTTGGCACCACCAGATGATCAAAGGAAAGACACAAATTTAGCTGTTGAGAAACATGCTCAGACTAAAGGCAGTGCAGGGGACTGATGCAGACACAGCTCCAGTGGACAGCAGCACAGGGAACCAGTAAGCAGCAGCAGAAACACCTGATGGGTATGCAGTCAGAGCAGCTTTTTTCCCTACCAGAGTACGGATTGCTGCTCAGGCTACCATCTCTTCCAGTCAGCGGGGTGGTGGGTGTAGGGAATGGGATGCTGTAGTAATCCTGAAGGATAAAAACAAAAAGGAGAAGTGTTATGAGCTCTGTCCAAAGATGTAAAGCAGTGTATTTTAGAAAAAAGGAATTTCTGGACTGCAGCCACGAGATATGTTGGAGTATTGCAGTTCAATCAGCCACACCGAGGCTGATCACAGCCTGCAGCAAACCCCAGGTTTTTGTAGCATGCACCATCCCCCTCGTCTGGCTATTAGAAGAACCAGATAAGGTCTACTGGTATGCAGACCTTACGCTGCCTGGACTTTCTCCTCTGCTTCACGAGGGGCATGTTGTATCGCTAAATAAAACCCATTCTCATAAAAGTATTTAGTCACTGCCCCTTTCAAGGATCAGAAGTATCTACAACAGCTCATCACACCACTGCTGGGCAGAACAGCTCTACCTGCTGCAGCCCTCCTGTTCTTCAGCCCTACCATCAATCAATACCACTGTCTGAATAACTGGTGCTCCTAACTCGCCAAGCACAAAGAAGCAACTGATTAACTCCTCACGACTGCCATGGAGAGGCACATCCACTGAGCACCCTGTTTTGCCAGCTCTTCGGGACTACCTCTCACAGCCTGACCTGTCTGTACGCCCAAAGCACACAGCTCCAGCGAGCCGACAGACCAGTGGCAGTGGTGTGTCCACACCAGTCTTCAGTACTCACCAATGGAAATCTCGTCTGGAGCATTTGCAAGTCATCATATCCATACACCTGTGGCTAGAAAAAGAGCAGGAGATGACGTTAAGGACACTGACTAGGTAAAGATACCTATTTTTAGATTAAATATTTAGAAAAATGTGAGAGAAAGCCAGCAGCAGATGATCAGAGGCTACACAATTACTTAAGGGACAGGCAGCCAGCATTCACTACTGCAAGACTGACGCTGCCAAAAGCATTTTTACAAGCTATTCAAACGAAGAGTGAGCACCAACGTCTAGCACCACTGCTCCAGACCACACAAGCACTCAACAGTTTTCCTCTAGAAATTATTTCAACATCGATGTCTGTCCTCACCTTCAGAAAAGGGCTGTGACACACCCCTAGACTTTGTGGCAGTCACTACCCTTGTTCTGACCGTGTGGCCTCTGTCATACCATGATGCTAATCCAGCTTCACAATTTCATGAGCCATGCTCTGACCAAAGGCTGTTAACTCCCCAAAGGTTGGGGAGGCTGTAGAGAACGGGCAAACAGAACCTGCTCTGGAGTGACCAGAATTGCAGACGTTTACCCCTGGAGGCACAAGGATTTCCTCTGCTACTGTTTTATGGAAAACAGCATATCCAAACTCTTCCCACCCAAGGCAATCCTGCTGGGCTGATGTTACAGTTTTTGGTTTCTCTGCTACACTACACCTGCTCCTGCTAGCTGAAGACATTGCTAGGAGGGATCTAGTGGTATGACAGGACTGCAAAAAGCCAGTTGTCCCACTCACCGGATAGGCATGTAGCAGCCCTGGAGCCATGATGTATGGATTAGGCAACAACGGTGGGACTCCAGGAGGGAGATTGGGAGGGGCTTTTCCTAAAAAAAAAGGAGAGAAAGGAAAAGTTCCACAGTGAAGCAAGCAGCAGAAGCTGTCTTTCTTAGCCTCCACACCCTCCTCCTGTTTAGGAGCACCCAGGAAAGTACCTGATGTTGTTGCAACGGAGCTGCGAGTGGAGGCCGTCACCGTGGAGTTACTACTGAGGCTGAGGCCCAGGCTGCTGACGCTGCTGAGACTGGATGAAACGCTTACGACCGGCGGGGCAGCTGACACTGTGCTGGAGGAGGTGGAGAAAGTGCTAGCAGAAGAATGGAGGCTTGCTTCACTCTCCACACTTGTGTGCTAGGGAAGGAAGGAAAGAGAGTTAGGGGACCAGGCTGATGTAACTGAGCGCAGAAATATTGCGGGATGCTGTCTATGCAAAATATTGCGCGTCTCTGCACCGGGTCATTCCCGAGAGCCTGCAATGAACTCAGCTGCTGCAGGCTACAAAGAACCTGCTTTGCACCTGGCTTAAGTCCAAAGTCCTGAAAGCAGCCAACCTCTAATGCTTCCAAGCTTCTCGTGCGGCTGTGTCCCAGCATGTCTGTCTGCTGGGGGAGGCAGGGCTCAAGACCGCATTTGCAGCAGGGAGATTTATTCTGCTGCAAAGCCAACACCCAGGGACTCTGTACTGCAGGAGCTCCAGCAGTATATACATTTGAGCAGTGACACTCCATCAGCTACCAGTTTGCTCTGACACCCAGTTGCAATTTCGCAGCACTTTCAAGAGCTGCTACAGGCTCCAAAGAAGCTGCTGCTATGTCTGAAACAGGCAGGGCATCAAAAGCCAAGCTAGAGGTGCACAGACAGTTCTGATATAGCTCTCTGTTCTCCCTCCACACAACATCTAACCTCCAGCAGGACAACCATCAGCCTGGCAGCTATTGCCACAACTGCAAACTCCGCCGGCCACTGACTCACACCAGCAAACCTCTCCAAGCCAGGCAGGAGTGGGGGTGACAGTCCCAGAGCACACTTAGACTCACCAGAAGAGTTGACGTTGACGTTCGCCCAGAGGACGTGGATGAGGACAGACTGTTCTGCTGGGTGGGTAGCGTGCTGCGGAAGGAGGAACAAAAGGTTGTCAAGTCAAGGTTCAAGAGTCACCCTTGGGAATACCAGGCCAGATCCCATTACCCATCTGCTCAGATGGGATGAGTCATTTCAGTCTTCCTCACTGCATGAGACAGGCTTTTATGTCTACTATAGATCCTTGCTTCTGCTTCTCTAGAAAACCATCCCCCTACACTTGCTCACCTGCTGAGCTGGGTGGTGGTCGTACTGGGGATTTCCTCACTGTGGCTCAGGCTGCTCAGAGCTGTTGAGTGCTGGCTGGCTGTCGTCAGCAAGGATGATGCAGACACCCCATCATTGAGAGGCGTGATACTGGGAGCAGAGGGGGAATCAGATTTCACTGCGGGGCCTGTAGCACCTGTGAATGAAAGCTTTGGGTTAGGGGCAGCTACTAGCAGCTCCTGGAGAGCAATTCGGTGGTGAGAATCAGCAGGGACATCTGGGGCTTCCCTCACTGCTGCCAACCAGTTACACACTTATGACAACGTGATTGTGTTCTACATCTCACTTTACCCCAACACCAACATTGGCTCCGCAAAGAGCTTCAAGACCTACAGATAAGGTGCCTTTCACAAACAAATCGGAGTAAATTATTGTCATCAGGGAGTGACTCATCAAGGATCTCACAGATTCATCAGCAGAAAGCTGAACATTTCAAGGCAAGCAAATAAACTCAGTGGCAGCAATTAAGTCTACCAGGAAAAGGTCTGTCTTGCAATTAGCACAGATAAAGACTTTTCATTCAAAGCATACAAGCAGTACAAGAGACTCCAGACACCCAGCACACTGGCAGACTCTTACCTTCAACGGCCTGTGTGGTTTGTAATGGCGTGGGTTGTACAGAACTGAAACCATTCTGAGGAAGAAGACAAAAAGAATACTGGGCATTGCAGCTGCTCGTTTCCAGAGGCAGATCTAGCATCAGTCCCCTCCCACATTCCCTCCTCAGTTGTGGAAAAGGCGTGCTACCAACACAGATCACCAGAGTGCGTCAAGGTCAGTCCCAAGTTCAACTAGCCCAGTGCCAGCAGGACCCCCAGGCACACGCTGGAGAAAGCAGTGTAAGACATTTCACTGCTGCTGGTAGCTGAGACTGGCTCAACATCCTCAACCCAGGTTCAATAGCCCAAATAGATGCCACTGAACTTGTGTGCAGCATGCGAGAATCGAATCCTTAAGACAAAAATAAATCCTTAGCCTGAATGCCACTCTGCAGCAGGGTAATTATGCGTGACACGACACACAGCCTGCAGTCAACTTAACCGCTGTTAACCCCACTGGCCCAGCCCCAGGTAAGTAACATAACTAAGGGCTCTGGTAGCAGCCAGAACAAAGCTCTCACAAGAGTCCAGAAGCCACGTGGTGAGGCTGGAGGATCACAGAAACACTTGGTAAACCACTTAGCTTTCCCACAAGACTGTGCTTCACATGCTATGCTTACTCAGTGCTATTTTCCTACCTTGGCCTGGGTCAGATCTTTCTGGGGCGAGGAGGAGATTGAATTTGGGTATCGCCTCGTCTGGGTGGATCTCTGTTCATACAGTGGTCCCTGAGCACTGTTCTGGGAGGTAAATGTTGCTGTCTGTATTGTGCCGCTCTGGTAACCAGACTCTTGGCTTTGATTGGACGAAATTGTGGATGAAGATTCACTACAAAGGGGAAAAAAAAAAAAAAAAAAAAGGGAAAAGGAGTTTACATTTTCCTCCAAAACGGCCCTGCTGTAAGCTGCTGACCCACACTATAGGATTTTCATTTCAAATTTTAATAATAAAGAGCTCCCAGCATCAGCATAAAGGCATCACACAAAGCAGCCAAGCAAACCAAGCAGAGAAACATACCGAGACAAGGGCTAGCCCAATCACAGGAGGATGCTGGCACCTAGCTGCAGCCTTGCCTCATACAGTGCTGTGCTCTAGGTGACATTTCATGAGCTGCCACCACTCAGGTCCCAGCACTCAAGGGACTGGCCAGATACTAAGGGTCAGCCCAACAGAAGACAGAAACACTTTGCTTTGGCAAGGCATCATCACAGTAGATACACCTACTCTACCGCGTCGTGGTTTGCCAAGCAAAAAGCAAGACAAAGCACACAGAATCCATTCACCAGGGACAAGGAGTGGTTGTGCTGGGGATTCCCCTCCTGTGTTTCCAGCAACACAGCTTAACGGCAGCAGGAAACGTCTGCTTTCTGTGTAAGTACCACAGGCCAATCAGTCATAGAGCTGCCTGAATGAGTCTGCTGGCAACTTAAGCTTTGCTGTTGCATACGTTGTCCCCGCTTTGTGACCACAGCACAGTCAGAAAGGGTCTACTAGTATGCAGCAATGACTGAAGTCCACAGGACCAGCTACCTTCCAAAGCTACCTGCTTGGATTAATTTTTCCCTTCCTCTCTCCTGGTCCTCACCTAGCCGTGCTGGTGTACAGGCTGCTTTGAGATTGGCTAACGGCGGCGCTTGTTGTGGGCGTCGATTCGTACTCCGCAAGAACAGGCTCCGAACCAAACTGTAATGCCCCAAACTGCAGGTTTAGCCCTGAGATATCCGCCGAGCCAGGCATTTCCACCGCAAGCGCAGGAATCTGCAAGGGAGGAACAACAGAAAGGATCAATCACTCCCTGGGATCAGCATGGAAAATGACTTTAGTGGCCACATTTCCCAGCACATGACGGTAGTTGCACGCTTGCACCCTCTGAATTACACCGCTCAACCCAGGCAAGCAAGCTTTTCTCTGTCACCCTCACAGACACCCAATGCTAAAAGCAGGAAGGCCAAGCCCAGTCCTTCCCTCACCAGCCCAAATGGATTTTTCTGCAGCCCTAACACAATACAACGCCTCCTTCCCCATCATCAGTTGGCACCTTTGATGTTAACGATGCTTTTTTCTTCTGCTGCTTCAGCTTCTGCTGCGCTGGCTGGGGACTGGAGGACTGGTTGTCCGAGGACCCTGGGGACATCTGGGGAACAGGATTGGTTTTGCTGGGCAGCGGCGAGGAAGGGGGTGCCGGCACAGTCGCGGAGGCAGTCACCACAGTCTGTTTCTCCTGCATAAACACTTCTATCATGGTTGAAGTTGATGTGAAGGCCTGACGCTTGGTGAAGGGACTATGCACGGAAGAGTCTGTTGGGTTCTTGAGATCTACCAGGGGAGACAAGAGTCGAGTTAGCAGGATTTATTTCCTTAAAACTACATGAAGTTCTGACGCTTCTCACTATGACTCTTCCTCGAATCTGTTGGAATCAGAGAGCAGAGAACCTCAGCATCTCCACCCCCAGCCTTGTGCTCTCACCACCATCAACACCAAGCCTTTTAAGCCCTTCTCCCCTCAGCTCCTTCCACCATCTCTACAGGACAAAACGAGCTTGCACAAAGTCCTCCATCCTCCAAGAAAAGCCAGACTTCACAGTCCCTTGTGTGGAGGCACTGCATGTCAGAGTCCTGCACGGGCCTGACACTGTTTTCTTACCCCTCCCTGACAGCGTTGCTGCATTTCATCACCTGCTCTTTCCCCTGCAAGTACTGGGCATCCCACTCAGGGCTGCCCACCCTCAGGTCTTTGCACAACCACACCACCCTCCTCCTTCACTTAAGCCTTACTGTAGCTTATTAAAAAACAAATCCTATCGCTCTGAATCTCTTCTGTGGCTCCTTGTCTGAAAAGATCATGAGCTGCCAACACTGACTGTGACTAGGACAGGGCTCGATTTTTCTTCGGCTTAGATTTGAACCAGAGCCATTTCCCTATAGCAAGAAATAAAATGCACAAACTGAAAGAAATGGCACTAGTACTCGACAACAGCAGGGCTCAGGATCTCATCTGAAAAGCAGGAGCCTCTCTTTAATCAGTGTTTATATGCTCGTGCCAGCCGAGAGGTAGAGTTACTTCTTGGCATTAAACAGAAACTGGAATTGCATTCCTTTAAAAGATAACATCAGGTCAGCAGTGAGATGAGACTGACAAGTGTCAGTATTTGGGAACTATTCTCCAGAGGTGCCCACTTTCAGACCCCTCCTCTGTTACACAGCTTTATACCAGAAGTAGTTCTGCACACTGTGAGGGTCTTGGGAACGCCAGACCCCTGGCCCTGAAGCTGGCTGGAATGACTAAGAGACAGATGGATTCAACTGCTCTAAGTATAAAAGGAACAGGGAAAGACTCGTATGCACCTATTACATTTTACTCTCATAAACTTGCACCCACAGTTCTTTTAATTGCTCCAGCACAGATGGCTGGGTTGTGAACTTGTGATTTGGCCCTCCACCCAATCCCTCGCGCTGCTGCTTGCAGCGCATTTCTGCAGGTCTGGGAGACCACGCTCCCCTCTGGGGAGCCACGCTGCTTTTCCTTACCGTACTGCACAAGAGACGAGGTCTGCGTAGTGGATCGCATGTCCCAGGAAGCAGCAGTGGTGCTCCCAGCAGGCTGGGTGTGCTGAGCAGCCAGCTGAGCCAGAGCCTGGGCTGTCTTGAACTGCTCCAGGAACTGAGAACCTGTGGTACTGCTGCCTTTGGCCTCCCCGACATCTCCAAACCCTTTCCCCAGCATGCTCACCTGCAATTTCAGCAACGACATAACAAAGTCAACGTCTCCCTTGGTTTGGAACTTGGCTCAGAGGACAGATACATCTTTTAACGTAAGTCTGAACACACTGTACCCTGCTGCTTCTCACTGGGTGCCTCAGCTTACCTCCCGAGCTCTAGATACACACAGACACTGCTGGCAAGGAGAGCTCATACTTCTCTCAGCCTTTATCGCATGTGAGTGCAGGTACACTTATTTGTTGCCCAACCCATGGAATTTTACAGTGTCATGGAGGCTTACAAAGAAAGTTACCAGATAGGATCTCTAAAAAATGTACTAAATTATTCACATGCATTCAGTTGCACTAAAAAAAAAGACAACCACCAGGAGAACTTGGCTTTACAGTTAAGGTGGTTTTGAAAATCCTTCTTGAACTGTCTCACTATTAAGCACATAAATTTTATTTCTTTTGCTGAAGTTACACAAAGAAGCATCTGCCCAAGCCAGTGCACATCCCCGGATTCAGATTCAATGCCTCCTTCCTTCACCTGTCAGATGCCAGTATTTCATCCCAAACCAAACTCCCAACCAGTTCCACTCCTTAAACTGTTGAATTTGCAAGCCCTGGACTGCAAGAGTTTTTTCCTTCCCTCTAAGCAGGAAAAAAGCATGTGTTGCAAGTCTGACAAGGGCAACAGGGGAGGAATTATCCCAATTATTTCTAATTAAGCAATGGACTTTATGCCTCTGCATTTAGAGCAGACTGGCGAATCATCCAAGCAGAGGACTCTGCTACCCACAAGAAGCGAGCAGGTGTCAGAACTGTATGTCCCATATTGCCCCAACACAGACAGAGAACATCAGGGAAACCAACACCCACCAAAACCCGCACGCTGGCAGAAACCAGCATTTCCTTACCATGCTGTGGTGAGAGAAGGAGTTACCAGAGGCGGGCTGGGATATAGCACTCTGCTTGGAATTGCTGAACACCAGCGGCTGGGCCAGGGAAGGAGCCTGGGATGACTCCAGGTTTGTTGACTCATTCTCCATAGAAGAGGGTGTCTTTCCTAGCAGGACTGCAAGATCGATCCTGAGTAAAGAAAGAAGATAACTTGCTGAGGTTAACACACGCTCTGTCACACCCCTCACTTCCATTACAGTGGTGCTCTACCTCCAGCCTCACAATTTATAGCTGTTACTTTATAAATTGAATGAATCTGCAGGAATCTGCAGAACATTAACTCACAATTGCTGGTAGAAATCTCAAAAGGACAGAGACCAAGCAAGATGCTGCACAGCCTTCTATTTTAAAGCATGTCTTCTGTTAAATTGACACAGCAAAAGGCCCACAAATCTAAAGAACTAGCAGCAGAGCCTAGGAAAATTTTAATCCAGGATTAGGACCCGGAAATTTGTAACTCAACTTTTCCATTTAAATCCATTTAATCTTATTCAGAGATGCTGCATTTTAGCTAACTGGCAAGGTTTAGTCTGAGATGCCAAATTGCTCTGGGACTTGTGTGCCACTTTTTCCATGCAAACAACATTGCCACGCGCTTTCACCTCTGTCCAGCTGTGATTGTCACATTCTCGGCAGGCAGAGGCACTGAAGACACGTTGGAGGCGGTGAAGATCTTTGTCTCAGACAGCTGAAAGACAAAAACAGGGAAAGAATGTAAAAGTGAAAACAGTGTCTCGGGACTCCTAGTAAAGCACACAAACATTTGAGACAAATGGCCACAGAAAGACTCAAGAAATTCAAGTGTTTAGATTTAAACTTCTCTAGCATTCGGCTCCCATCAAGATCAGCTTCTATTTCATTTCTTTCTTCTCGTGCAAGTGCACAAATCACTTGCCAATGGAAGAAAAAACCCCAAATCCTTCTACAAATTTCCCACAGTCCACAAATCCCCTAGGGCTGCTGGGGTCTTCAACGGGTGCTCTGAATTGATAGTACACAGCACTGATCTGCAAAAGCCACTGCACAAGTAGGTGCAAGCATTGCTAAAGAAGTCAAAGAAAAAAAGCTTCAGACCCACAGTTAAGCTTCCAATGATCCTGGCCTCACCTGGATGATCCGACCAGAGACAAACACATCTACTTCAATAGAGGAGTGAAAGGTGAAGAGTGGATGGAGAGCAGCCCTGTGGAGGAGGCCTTGGGGGTACTGGTGGGTGAAAAGCTGGACATGAGCCAGCAACATGTGCTGGCAGCCCAGAACCCACCCGTGCCCTGGGCTGCAGCCAGAGCAGGGGGGGCAGCAGGGCCAGGGAGGGGATTGTCCCCCTCTGCTCCGCTCTGGGGAGACCCCCCTGCAGTGCTGGGGCCAGCTCGGGGGCCCCCACCAGCAGAAGGACCCGGAGCTGCTTGAGCGGGGCCAGAGGAGGCCACGGAGATGCTGGGGGGGCTGGAGCAGCTCCCCTGGGAGGCCGGGCTGAGAGAGTTGGGGGGGTTCGGCCTGGAGAAGAGAAGGCTCCGGGGAGACCTTCGAGCGGCCTCCCAGGGCTTAAAGGGGGGACAGGAGAGGTGGGGAGGGACTCTGGATCAGGGGGTGGGGCTAGGACGAGGGGTGACAGGTTTAAACTGAAAGAGGGTAGGGTTTAGATTAGATCAGATCTAAGGATGAAATCCTTCCCTGTGCGGGGGGTGAAGCGCTGGCCCAGGGTGCCCAGAGCAGCTGTGGCTGCCCCCTCCCTGGAAGGGTTCAAGGCCAGGTTGGACGGGGCTGGGAGCACCCTGGGCTGGGGGAAGGGGGCCCTGCCCGGGGCAGGGGGGTTGGAACTAGATGATCTTTAAGGTCCCTTCCAACCCAAACCAGTCTGTGATTCTAGGGAAGGGAAAATAACATTGCTCAAAAATGGATGAAGGGGAGGTTTAATGACCACCTGTGATTTAGCCTAGAACATATCTGAATACGAACAGCTTTTATTCCAGACTGAGGAGCTGCCAGAGTTTAAAACCAAAATCAGGAATCCCCAGGAGCACATCACACACAATGAAGGCAAGAACAGCTATCAAAGGCTCTCTTTAAGCAGAGACCTGACTGAACAGACAGAGAAGCTGCTTGCATCTCCAAACACAGCAGGAGCAGTTCCTTAAGATGCTGCCTGGAAAGCAAAAGCCTTCCCCTCATGCAAAACTAATAATAATACTAAAAAAAAACCTGACCCTGCTCCTGTCTGCAAGAACAGAAGTTGTCCCTTGATTCAGAGAGGGACCTGAAGCCCATTTCAGAAGGAACTGATACAGAAGCATTAAAAGTAGGTGATAACAGCATCCATCCTCCCCTGAAGATGCTGCCAGGTAGAGAACAAAAAGCAGAGAGACAAATCAAAGAGCAAGTCAGAAAGAAAAGCCAAGAGCTTCTGTTCAATCCAAATCACAAGAACCAGCAGAGGCACGTGACACACGCATGAAACCGCTGCTGCCTCCTCCACAGCACGTGGTGTGGATCAAAGGCAAACCTTCCCAAACTGCCAATCCACCGGAGGAACAGAGCAAGAATCTTCCATGGAGTCAGCCCAGTTTATAGGAGAATTCGATCATGCAGCTGCAGGAAACGTGAGGACCAGACATGATGCCCCAGGGGATCCCTTCCTGTCTTGGGCTCCTATGACAAGCTCTACTACACATGTACTTTAGAGGCAGCGATGTGTACTTATCCATCATAGCTCCTGGAATCGGGAGCCTGGCTTGGGCTATGCCCATAGGTTGGGGAGGAAGGTCTTTGTGCTCCTCTCGTAGCTGTGAGTGTACAAACAGGACAGCAGCCTGCCGGCAGACGCATGGAGGAGAGGGGTTTGGAGAGTACCTACATCTTCATTCCAGTCCTCCGTGCCCCATTCTTCTGTCGCTGCCCTCCACGCACCTACAAGGATAACAACAGGTAGAGAAGTTACGCGTGCATCAAAGCTCTACCTCCAAGAGTCAGGGAAGCACTGGGGAGCTTTGCAAGCAGCAAGAGAGGATTTCTAGTTGCCAACCAGACAAGTTAAAGCAGTCGACCCCAAACCATGATTCATGGGCAAGGTACCGTGATGGGATCGCCTCAGCCTTGCTCAGGCAGGCTAGGCTGAAAGAGAGGGACCCCTGGGCTGACAGCGAGGGCAACGCACACACCCCGACACCGAACAGGGAAGCTGAGCTTGGCAAGGAAGCCCCGGCATCGTCCCCAGCCTCCTTGTGCCATTTTCCTGATTTCCCCTTGTATTGCACCCACGAGCAGTTAGTGTTACCCCAGCAGCTCAGACAGAGCACCTCCTTTGTGGGCTTCCTGTCAGCTCTTATGCAGGATCTCATCACCCAGTTAAGCCTGAAGACTGTAAAACCTAGGGACAACTGAACCCATCACATGGTTTGGTTTTGGTATTTTTCCCCCCCCCCCCCATCAAAATGTTGAAACCTCACTGCACCAGGATCTCCTATGCACAAGCAAATGGGAATCAAAGGAAAATTTAAGGGACTAAGCAATTACTGCGTTTTCTCTGACCAATTTCGGAGATATGCTCAAAGTGAGTAGCTTAAAGTATCAGGGAGAAAAGCACAAGATTTCAGCCACAATCCAGCACAGTGCAATTTGTAAGAGAGCAGAATTTACTGGAAAACAAAAGAGAGTTTTGCCTGGCCGCATCTTCAACTTGTTCCATCCCTCACTTCCATCACAGTTTAACCTCAGTACTTTGAATATTACGTGGCAACTTTTGAATCCAATGAACAACTTAAAATTTGGTGTGGGAAAACTGGAGCATTTTACACCCCAAAAAAATCAGAGCGTGAAAACAGCCGTGTTTTGCACAGCTTGTTTTCAGATCAACAAAACCCAACATGGTCAACAGGGTTAATCCTGGAGATGTTTAGAAGGATGGAACAAGTTGGCATCAGCCCTTTCGTAAGGCAAAAGCCTTTTACAGCATGAAAACAGCATGTGGGGAACAAGAACATTATCAATTCTTCTGCAGGACACAACCAGGCTCACTGAGATTTTGGGGAGAAGAACACAGCAGATCTTCCCGTAAACACTTTAATTATGAGGTCAAAACATCCAAACAACTGCTCATCTAAAAGTGGGGGATTTAGTGCATGAAATAAGTATATCATCGGTGACTTATTCTTTGTCATTGTTTTGTTGGGTGTTTTGTTTTGCCTAAGAAGTTGAGCCAATTCAAAAAGCCTTCCTGGATTATTTGTTTGGTTTTGGGGGTTTTTTTCAAATTCAAATTAGGAATACCGATATTAATACAACATGACTTCCTTAAATGCCAGGAGTCTCAAAGCACACTACCCCTTCCTCCCCAGCCAGAAGCATCAGGAGTTCAACACAAGCAATGCAAAACACATCTGGGGTTTGAAAACCCAGACTCCACCATTCCTTAGATTTTTTTTGTGCCCTCACAGCACTAGCAGGAAGGCTCCTTCCCTGATTTTCACGGATCGAAAAGATCCTGCCAGCTCAACCCCTACCCAAGAGGTAAAGTGTGAGCTGGAGGTACCTGGGGGTCAGCTGCAGTTGGCAGAGGAGAGTTGCCCCAAGAAGAGTTTGTGCACGTAGTTACACAGCACCAGGCTCTCGGTTTTGCTTGCTTAGGGGAGTGAGAAGAAAAGCAAAGCAATACAAAAAGCAGAAGGAAATCCTGCAGATGAAGAGCAGCCATTGACAGGGCTTTTCTGGCAAGTCTAATTCTCGAGTACCAGACACCTATCCAGCATGGCCTGTGCTCCTTGCACACGAAGGGACAGATGGAAAAGCGAAGGCCTGCCACGTACAACTGGGCATTCACCAGAAATCCTCCAGAAAGCTTCCTCACCACCACAACGTGCTTTCATTTTTTTAAAGAAAGCAAGTGTATTGCTCTCCATCAAGCTGTTCTGAAGGGGAGAGCTGCAACTCAAGCAACTCCCTAACACTTCCAACACCATTTCAGAAGTGTCATCATGTGAATGGCAATCCCTCCTCTCTGCTCTAAGCAAGCTCTTCAAACAGCTGCTGGCCTTTAAGCTTCTCAAACCAGGAAAAGGGATAAAAATAAAATTAGAAGTCAACAGGCGAATAAGAATGTGCTGAATCAAAAAAGCCCCATTTTTTTCCCTCCAAATACAGTATCTCTCTACTTTAAACTGGGAAATGAGCAACCAGCTTGCTCCTCCCTCAGTTCATCAGGCAGTCTGCTGCTATCTCAATGACTGGACACATTCTCCGTGCCCCAGCCTGGAAGGGCAGCAGATCCAAAACTCCCCACTCTGCACCTCAAAGGAATGCAAATCCAAATAAAGCCAAAGTGTGGCAAAAACACAATGGTAGCACTGGAGCAGATGGCCTTGTGCTGCCTGCAGGAGTTAAAGATTAACCCAGAGGTGAGAACCAGGAGATACTCTCCACAGCAACAGAAGCACTCCCAAGTATGTCTGCCTCCAGGCCCCTGCAAAAGAGATGCTACAGCCTCAACACTCCTCCTCCTGTCCTGACCTACAAGAGCCAAGTGGCAAGTTCCTCCAGAAAGACCCTTAGCCTCGACTTCCAGACCTCAGGTTAGACAGAGGAAACATTAGTCAAACATGACTCCGGTCTCGTTATGGGGCAGCAACAGGATCTGGTAGGTAGAAGGCAAACTGGATCATCTCATGGGTGTCTCCTGGCTTCCTAAGGAATAGAGGTACAAGAGCTGGAAATCAAGTGGCCAGGCACTGAGCAGCTTTGCCATCAAGCATCCCAAATCGTCTCAAAATCCACCGTCACCTTCAACTGCAGGGCAGGTCTGCTCAGGTGAAGAAGAGCAGGCGGGCAGCGAGAGCATGCCAAAGCAGCCATCGAGCACATCGCTCGCTCAGAGGTAGCCATAAGCAAAGACAAAGCACCGCGATAGTTTAGCCAGGCTAATTCCCCCTGCAGCAGTGTTCTGACCCTAAGCAGAAACACAGCAGTGAGGCCACTGAAGCGACCGCTGCAGAACCGAACCACCACAAGGAAATGGCACGGGAACAAGGGCAAGTCACAGATTTCTGCGTGTGACAAGCAGAATACGACTAAGCTGCCTCACAGTTCCTTCCCTCAGGTGGGATACTCTGTCATCAGTGCTGTGGACACGAAGCTGCTCTGGGTACTGAGAAGCAGTGGCTGAAGTTAAAATTTACATAATACACAAGAATTTGGGTTAACCTCTCCCCATTTAGATTCAAGGTGTCAGCATTAGTAAAAGCACAGTCAGAACAAACGTCAAATATTTAAGATGAACAAATTAAGAGAGGGAAGAATGACATATCCACAGATATTTCAGGTTTTTTTTAAAAAAGCTATAAAGTAAAAGTATCCGGGGCAGTTAGTGCACCTGGATGTATCGTACCAGGAGCAGTGTCAAATTTTCGGGGATAATTTGACCCCTCACCCCCAATGAAATCAAGTCCTGAAACAAAAAAAAAAAAAGACAAGACAGACAACCAGTGAAATTTTGACTTGAAGTGAAGGCGAGTTTCATTGCCCCCATGTACACTATTCACGTTGTACCTGTGGATATTGTTAAATTTAAGGAGATGCCTGCAGCTACTAAAGTAGAAACAAAACGACCACGCATGACACAGGTGAACAGCACAGCTGCACAATAAACTTTACAGCTGCATTGTAGTGCTAGAGGAAATCTGAAGATTTTTCTGATGGAACAACTCCATTCCCCCCAACCATGCTCTAACCCACTTTGTTCCATAACTCCACAACACACCAACACAGAAAAACACCCCAACACACAGAAGCCTGTTCAGACTAGACAGTTAAACTTCTGGCACATAATGCTCATCCAGTCTCATCCCTTTTTCCTCCAGATAAATGTACCCATCACCCTTAACACAGGCTTACACTGCTCCCTCAGCTATTTAAAACTCCATTTCTCAGTCTGCAAGGAAACAATCACTCAATCTGCTAGTGTTTTACAAAATCATGCTTATTTTTTCCCCCCTCCAAAAGAAACAATAAAAAACCCAAACAAAAACACACCAAAACACAAACCAACCAAAAAATCCTACAGTAATGATGTGTAATAAAAGGTATCATAGTTTACAGTACTTTATTTCTCTCTTCCCAAGGCTATCAGTTTTTCAGCAAATAAAAAAAATATGGAAGCAGCCTAAAGAAACATCAATACAGTTGTGAATGCTTCTAACAACTAAGACATGGTATTTACCTGAATGCTCAAAAATCATAGAAGAATAGTTTGACTTCACAGTGGTGCAAGATCACTCCATAAAAAAACCCAAACACTCTTAAAATCCCATACAAATGAACTACTTACAATTACTGATTGTCCCTTGTGACTCTGTCCAGTTATCACACTGCAAAATCTGAGTTCACTTGTGTCTTACAATAGTGCGTGTACTTGAAACAAAAAAAAAGTCCCATTTTTCCAATTCAAGAGAATGTGCAAGGTCAGATCAGTGTTCGCAAACCGCCAGGTGAAGAAACATTTGCTTCAAACAGGGAAGCAATGAAGATTTCTTTTCAGCTAGCTTCTGTAACAAGGTCTCATGCTACAGCAGTTCAAGCAAGATGACTGTGAAAGAGAGAAAGCTCCTCATACTGAAATCAAGAGCAAGACACCTGAACTCTGAGTAATATTCTCTGGAGGATGCACCAAGTATCAGGAGAATTTGCAGGTGTTTATCATGCTACCATTTATAAAAAAGACTTTTCCAAAGAGGCAGCGTGGTTTCTGCTGGAAAACAAGTGGAGGCATGTGTCCCTGTGCCTCTAATTGAGCAACAGCACAAACTCACACCGGAACAATCATCCGGCTCCCAACTTCCAATGTGGTGACCTTCACAGATGGAACGACACCTCCAAGTGCAAAGAATCAGAGTAACTGAAATCCACCTCTGAATCAACCACCTGGTTCCTCCATCCCCGAGCCGTAGACCTACCCAGAAGCTCCTCAGTGCAGCTGGATGGACACAAAATCCACTTACCCTCTAAATACAGAGCAGCAACCACTTACTTGTGCCATCATCCGGCTCAAAGCTGCCAGTGTTGTTCCACGTGTTGTTGTTGCTATTCCCATAGTTCTCATCCGTGCCGGCCGGCTCAGCATAGTCAGCCGGGTTGAAAGTTCTGTAAGAAATATCAGGATGGAAATTTTTACTCCTTCTCCCTTAGCATTTTCAAAGCAACGGATTTTATTCATACCACGACACATCTCAGTCTCAAAAGGCAGTTCTCTCAGCAGAGGGATGCTTCTGCTACAACAGCCATTCCAAATTTAAGTTAGCATGATGCAGTTTTGTCATTATTAACAAAAAAAGGAAAATTGGAACACAAGTGACTGACACAAACAGTGCTACTCGCGCACAAATACTTTTATTTTTGCTGTGGTTTGTACGAGCAGAACTTACCCCATGCCTTGGGCAGAAAATCTTCCCCCTCGTCGTCCAGAGCCACCTGTAAAATATACACGTGTACACTGCTGAGCATCTCTCCTGCCTCTGCATCACTGGGAAAAGAAACATCTGAACAACATACGGAGTTCTGATGTCCAGAATATGAAAGAATATGAAAGAGGATCTTCCCAAGTTGATGGGATTTCCAGCAGGTTCTTTACATGTATGTGAATGACCTCAGCTGGCTGGCAGCATAATTAGCGATGCATGATTCCAGGCTCAGATGAGGTTTCCAGCTGGCACAAACCATAAGTACCAGACCCCAGGTTCTGATTTCTGCAGTGTGTGTCCTCAGCAACAATTCCTGAGCAGCACAGATTTTGTGGAAAAATGAATTTCTGCCGCTGAGTATTTAAAAACCAAGCCAAGCGTTTGCACCGCAAAGGTGCTCAAAGACACACGTGCAAGAACAAGGAGGATTAAGATTCTATTGCTAGCAAGCAATTGGCCCACCTGCCAAACAGTCACCTTGGTTTTTTTTGGTTTTTTTTTTTTTTTTTTTTTAACATTCCACCTCTATTCAATAAAGCCCTATTTTTTTCCAGCTCCACGGATGGGATGTAAGAACTAGATACTGTTTCCAGCACACTTAAGGTGGGGAAGCAATGTGTACGCGCTAAGTGTAAGCGTAAGAACAGAAAAATCAAGCACTTATTTTCAGCTTGGCAATTTGTCCCATAAAAGAGGCTTTCAAACCTCACGAAGGAGATAGAACATGCTGACATCATCCTTTGCCTCCCACCCCACGTGTACCTCGGCCTCGGCCACGTCCTCGCCTCCCTCTTTCTGTGCCTCTTCCAGAAGATCCTCCAGTCTTACCACCGTCTAGTCCATTCTCCTGGCCCCGAACTGCAAGACAGAACAACGCAAAGACAATTCAAAGATTCATCCTGCTTTAGGGAAGATAGAAGACCAGACCTCAAACACTGAAGCGCAGTGGCTGTGCAAGAGACCGTGCCACCAAACACTCCCTTAACTTCTTTTATTTAAGGTATTGAGGGCATCACCCAAGGAATCATCTCAGACATGGGAGCATCAAACAGATTGCCACACGCACACAAGGATGGCTTTCCTCAAAGGCGTATCTGCCCAAGAAGCTTTACTGACAGCTTTTACGCAGCACAAAGTGCCTTGGTGTGCACCGTGACAGTTACGGGTGTTATTAAAGGGCAGGTCCATACACTCTCTTCCACGGCTGGCACCTCGCCCCCGCCTCGGTGGCCCGCCACGTCGTCTGCTGAAATCCCGATCCCTCTCCCGGTTTTCTTTGCTTTCTTCACTGGGTTCTGCCTGTCCACTCTCCTTCTGTCCTGAGACACCCTTCTTCTTCCCGACCATTTCCCAGGAATGCTGAAGGTTTGCAGAGGGTAAAGAAGTTAATCATCATTTCATCAATACAAGATGCAAATGCACACATATTTAAACATGCTACAGAGACTCTAAGAAGGGCCTCCAGAAAAGCTGTTTCCAGCTCAGTTTTTTTAGAAATCTATCAGCCTGCATACAGTACAGCTTCTTCCTTCCAGGAAAGCTTTCTTACAGCTGACTGGTATGTTGTCTGAGGTAAGAGGAGATGAGTTATTCTATTTCTGCAAAGATCTACTAAACTTCTTAAATAGAGTGGGCATAATACTTAAGTTCAAAGCATGGATAAATTTACCCTGTTTAGGGGGAAAAAACCCTGCCATTTCATGTAAGTCACTGGTTTGGGCAGCTCTCAGAATAACCCAGGTAAATATTCCAAAGTGCTCTGTAGTCAGAATTTTGGTTAAGTTATTCTCTCAGATGCAAAGTGATTTAAAACCCCTGCCCTAAACAGCAGCTCACAGAGACGGGAGTTATCACAGAATTTATCCAACAGGCAAGTTCAAGTCATCGCAAGTTCAATTGTAAGAAGTTAAACACACCTCCAGCTTACTGTTGTGGGCCTGCTACAGTTTATTTTATGACAGTCTGCAGTGGTTTCACACTCTTAAACTGATGCTGCACACTGTTAGATCAATTAAAAATAGTCACAAGTCATTGACAAACACCTGAAAACATAACTGACAGACAAGTAAACAGTTGGGTTTGGATGACAACATGCAGGGACAGTGACAAAAAAAAACCCCAAATGCAGAGGCACAAACTGCCTTCAAACCCAAGGCTTCTGAAGTCTCTCTCCATAGGTATCTGGCTCAGAAAGAAACGCAGAAAACATTTACTTTGAATACTGTAATTTCAAGCCAAATCTAACCCAACGCTAAGATCACGCCAGCTCCTTTACTGTTTGAAATACAGTACATTATGAGTAACTAGCTCAGCAGGTGAGCTGTCTTCATCAGCACGCGAGTATTTGAGCAATTAGCAAGTCTGTTTCTTATCAGAAAATCCCCTTTATGAGGTTGCTGCACAAGCTGAATCCAGGCCAGAAGCAGCTCCAAGACCTTTGACCAATTACAGTGCAGACGCTGCCTGCACTCCGTGGTGTGGGTACCAGCTCACAGGCCCCAGAAGTGGCAGGCACTCGAGGGCTTTGCTCTGCCAACTCCCTCTCTGCCTCCACAAATTTTCCACAGTAGCCATGCCTTGCCCTGCATATGTACATATATCTATCTTGCACAGCTGGGTGTTTCAGCTGCTCGAATAAAGGAGGCACTGCTACATAACGCAGTTTACTGCACACTATCCTGGATGCTATTTTCATGAGCAACATATTTATCTAGGAAATGCAATTGTTGTGATAGCAGGGGTTTGTTGTTTAACTAGAAGGCACCGGTTATGAGGGAGGTGGAAGAAAATACAGTCATGGCAAAGCTTTACCTCAGCAATGCACATTCATATCATTCCCCTTTCTAAGAGGATTTTCCAACAGCTACTTTGTTCAGTTGTCAATAGAAAGGGCTCTCTAAAGGCAAGGAAGAACGCTCACGTGCGCTGCACTGAACTTGATTGGTGCCAAAGCTAGCAAAGCATCTGACGCTGGGGAGCAGCTACGTTACACAGAACATAAGTCTGCAGTGTCCAGCTCATTCATCTACACTCAGGGCTAATAATGAGGAAAAAAATGAGCTCCTGCATAATATTTTGAAGTGATATTTACAGCCTCAACTCTACAAAGAGTTGAATCTGCTCCAGCCAAACCAGGGTGCTGGGAGGGTATGTTTGATCAGAAGCAGTTTGGAAGGATCTGATAGTCATAGGGTATTTGCTGGGCTGTAACAGAACTTGCATCTCTGCTGTCTTTGTCACAAAATTAACGACATCCCACACACCAGGCAGAAGGTTCCTCCTAAGCAAACGCTCAGTTGTTCTCTGAGCTGACTTTGTCTTGCCCAAGACTGGCACCTGCATGAGCAACAGCAGTTGAGCCTGACTCCACAGAAAGCAAACAGCAGAAAGACCCTCAAAAACATAGCACAGGCAGCAGCAAACAAGCCAGTCAGCACATCATTGAGAAGTGAATGTTTATGGCCAGAGACACAAAACTGCATTACTCCAACAGAAAGGAACCGCAGCTGACACATACCTGTGTTTCAACACAGGTCACTCAGACCTTGTGGGAAAAGATAAGTTACTTCATATTCATAGCCGTGTGAAAGCTTATACAGATGCCACTGTATCGTTGTCAAAGCACTTGGATTCAAAAGGAATAGGAAGTAAATGATACGTTGCATTTTCCCCTTTATTCCTTTGGGCCTGCTGGCCACACTCATATTCTGTGCAAGACTACAGAGAGCAGCGTTAAGAAGCCAGGACACAATCACACTTTACATGCTACTTGTGGAACTGGTCAGTCATTTTGGCTCTCGTTATTTAGACATTACTGTATGTCGTGTCTCCAAATATGCAGTTACACTGAACTAGGCCTCACCAGATTTACAGGACCCAATCCTACCGTGTCCGGATTGCCCTCCAGCAGCACGTTGATGGCTCTGTTAACATCCCCATTGCAGTCATGCAGAGCAATCACACACTCGTCCTGGTTCTTGCCTGTGATGTCGATCAGCTATGGAGAAGACAACACCACAGTCAGCATGTCCCAAACCAAAAAGGCACCAAAATCTTTGTGGAACTCTTAGAAGGCAAGCAAGTTGAAACCCAAACCAGAAATCCTACAAAGAAATGTCAGGGTTTGGGAGTGTCCCCAGCCTTCTCAGGTTAATTATGCCCCCTCAACAAGAAGTAACTGAGGGTGAAAATTTCTGAGTTACTGTTTCACCATAACCCAACCCACAACCTCCTTTTCTCAGGATAACACAGTTCCCTGTGTCTGGGGAACAAGCCAGTCCAAGGAAATTCAGGGAGCAGCCAGCTGCATCCCTCCCACTCCCCTCAGCATTCATGGTACTCCTGATACTGATCTTGCCTTCCTGTCAGGGTTCACCCTCACTTTCCACACTCACTTGTTTCACCTTCTCCTCAAAGTCAGCGTCGTTGTGGTCCGAAATCATCTGTGCAAGTCGAATCTGTTCCGCAGTGGCCTAAAGAAATCGAATGTAGAGAGAGCGTGGTTAGAGCAGCGCATTTCCAACAAATCTTCCTCCAAAAGCCATACCACTTCCCTCAGATCTCTGGAAAGGAATCAATATGATGAAGAGGAGGCACAAACAAGGGTCAGAAAGAGGGAAGCTTCAGAGAGAAAGCCAGATGGAAGAGGAGCGAGCGAGGTGAGACTGGAAGAAAGGGACATACCACTGGATGGCCTCGTGGCAGCGGGTGAACAACCATCACCTAAACTGTGTCCGCTTTGAGACAGACCTTACCACCACCAGAACATCAAGACCCACTGCAGGCAGCTTCTCAGCCGCTTGCATTCACTGAAGTGAACAGGGAATGGTCAGATGGAAGTAAAACCCAATCTCAGCCCCGGCTCCTGCTTGGAGACACCGATGCAGAACCCCCACGGTCAGTGGCCGCCCAATTAACCTGGCTCTGCCAGCACCACCCTTCAGCTTGCAGGAAGTTCGTTAGGCCAAGCCCAGCCGTTAGCACTGGGCCAGGCAGGAGTGCCAGGTCTCCACCTCCAAGCTAACTGGTTTCCATGGACGCTGCCCTTACCTGCGGCCGCTGCTTGTGCTGTGTCTGGCTCTGTGTCTGTGTCTGCTCCCAGTTCCCCCGGGCTCGGTTAGTGCCCACCGATGTCATCATTTACAGTATATACAAATAACAGTATTTACAAGGTAGAACTCTGTGGTGGGGCAGGGGAGAAGAGAGAACGGACTGTTAGAAACTGAAAACAAAAGGCAGCACCAAGACTGAACAATTGTGTGGGCGAGGCAGCCAATAAAGCTGTCGTGGGCCCCCACCCTCCCCACCGCTTCCCCAAAATTCACAGTGGGCCAGCCTACCCTTTCCATGCGCCCCCAAAACAAAAAGGCCACTTGTACTTCTCCAGGTTTCTCCACCACTACCACGGCGGAGAGCTCTGAATGAAACATCACCTGCATCCGAGTGGGATCAATCAGGACCCAGGAGCAGAAGTACTTGGGGTAAAGGGTTTGACCACTTGCTGCTAAAATACAAATGTGTGAGTGAGCACAGATTTGCCATGCCCAGGGCTGTCAGAGGCTACAGCGATCAGCTGGAGCAAGGAATGCTTGAAAAAAGCTCTAAAGAAACTGAACATGGAGAGCAGGACATCTCAGAGCCATCAGCTACTTCCCCTTCTCCTTTCTTGCCTTCAAAGCAGGGCAGGGGAAGCAAAACTCTCCAGTAATAAACGGTGCTGCAGGTTTGTGGGATATTGATTTAAAAATCTACCACTCTTGTAGAACTGCCCATTTCTGCTTGCTTCAATTATTTCCCAGAACTGGAAATACAAAGTTTTCTGCTACTGAGTATTCTGGATTAAAAAACTACCAAAAAATTGAACTAGATGTCAACAAGAAATAACAGCCAGCAACATTGTTAGATAACTGCTTGAGGCAAAAAATCCCAGTAAGAGTTCAGGCCATGGAGCATCCAAAGCAAGTGGAGTTTCATAATCTCACACTGGGCTTCGGGGGAAGAGCCCAACCCGGATGGTTAGAACGGGATCAGCACTGAGTAGTTTTACTCTGCCTATTGTCTCCCAGGTACAAGGGATGCCAGACATCCCACAGCGCTCGGCAGGACTTGCTACTTCCAAGTCCCCCAAAACTCAATGATCACAAGCTTCACATTTTCCGATTTTGTTAACAAGACTGCAACACCTTCCTCCAAAGCAGCAGGTCCTGCTTCAGGTGCTGGTGCTGCAGGCAGACGCTTGGGACAGGGGAAGGAGCCACAAATAGAGCGTAAGAGCAGGGAGGAAACCCGAGCGAGAAAATCCAACCTGCAGGATACGATCTGAAACGTTGCTTGCGAACACCAACGTGGCAGCACAGAGCAAGACCTGGCGTGCAAAGCAGGGAAAGCTCAGAAGCAGCGTTAGCAAACAGTCCGGTAAGAACTGGGGAGTCTCTTGTCAAAGTCCGCGAGCAGAGTGCTTGACCAGGCTGAAGAGCTCTTTCCCAGAGAGCACGGAGACCCTAAGGTCACCTCTGCGCCCTGGCTCCACGCGCACACCACCGCTCCTGCTCCCATCAGTGTCTAGTCTTCCTTTGTAGCCAAGTTCTCAAGTGCAATTGCTCCCGCAGCTTCCCACAAAACCTCAGAAGTTTGCCCTTCGGGGCTACCCATGCCTCGCAGCAACTTAGAAACACAGTTTCCCAGCTATACGGTGCCAAGGTTTCTTATCAGAAAACAATCCAAGCTACCTGTCCAGTCACCAGGAGCCCCAAGGTACGTGTGACACCGAGCAGATTTAAGGAAGAGCACCGAGGCTGGGCTTTACCTAAGGCAGAGCAGACAAAGCCTCTTGGGCTCTGCAGCCATCCCTCCCGCACTCCACGCAGGCCTTCTTCCCCATGGTATTTATTTTCGCTCTCCACTGCTAGGTCTCTTCCAGTTCTAAGTGTTTCACGCACAAACAAGTTGTCATATTAAACCAATTTGGCAGCAGAACTGCAGGCCCAGAGGGAAGCAATCCTGCCCGTTTGCAGTAACTTAATCTGCAATTTCAATAGGATACAGTTCCAGCAGTCTGCTGCCCCGAACCTTTGTGCAGTGGCTGGGCATTGTTCAACAGCTGCCGCACTCTGCTCAGCCCAGCTGCATTTCTGCCACAATTAAATCATGATTATTTTTTCTTTGACGTGCAAAAAAACACAAGAAAAACATCTATTACAGAAATATCTGCCAGGCCCTGAACCTGCTGAGACCATCAGGTAAGCGGGCGTCCCCACGCAACACCCCAAGCGCTGTATTGAGGGGAGAGGACACAACTGCTTCAAATATATTCCTTAATCACGTAACTTCAATGCAGCTCACAGGAACATTTAATGGCAAATTTTGGTCATCCTGACACTTGAACTGGCCTCACACAGAAGTCATGATAATATGAGTTTACTGGTGCAAAGCAGTCTTCATCAAAAGTTTTGCCTTTTTTTTTTTTTTTGCAAATCCACATATATGCACTAAGAAGGATATAATAAAATAGGGTGACTCCAGCCAAAGCAAATCATGGCTGATCCACACCAGAGAAACAACATTAAACCAGGCCAGTGCTTACATTTTAAGACAATGGGAAAGCGATACACTCGTACAGGATTTAGGGAAAACAAGAAGCTTCACAGCTACAGGTTATAACACCTTTGCTTCAAAGAAGCTGCAAGTAAATATGACGCACTTTGGCATTACCCCTTCTCCTTTTCAGACTACACCTCTACCAGCCTTCCACATCTAGATGAGAGAGTCTCGACTACACGAAACACGACGTGTGGAGTCTCCAGAAAAAGAGATGATACAAAAATGTAACGAACTGTTAATTTTATTAGAAATTTCAGTTAAGTTACAGTTTTAAAACAAGGATCTGTCAGTCACATCCGCTATCCCCAGCTGTGTCAGACCTGTTGGCTGACGCTGGGCAAGTCCCAGCACATCCCAGCCTCAGTTTCCCTTATCTGTTAATACAGAAAATTGGTATTTTCATCCCACCCTGACAAAGCTTAATTAACACGTGCAAAAGGCTCCGAAGCTCCAAAGGAAAGGACCACAGGGGGTAAAGCATTCAAAAAGATTTTCCTGCAACATGGGGCAAAACAAACACCCGAAGGAGCCCAATGTGGGGAGCTGGGTTATCAGTGTTATGAGTTTTCCTCAGGAGCAAACACATTACAGCTGCAAAACAAGTAACTCCCCTGTGTGTAAAGTATAACATTTGGGGGACATGCCCCCAGATACGCCATCAAAGACCCCAGTTTGGCAGCGATGCGCAGCGCTTTATTGGGAACTCACCGGCCAGTGCTGCCGTCCGGGAGCACGCAGGCAGAGACCTCAAAACCGCACGGAGGCAAACGCCGCGCACGGGACCTGGAGCAGGGCCGGGAATGGCTCCGGGGCCACCAAATCGGCATCACCCGGGAATTTCACGTGGGCCGCGGGAGGGCCCGCCCCACACCGAGGGGCCGCCGGCGGCCACGGCCCCCGGGGCGCAGGCGAGGGAAGGGGGCCAGAGGCGAGGAGCCCCGAGAGCACGGCGGGAGCGGGGCAGCGCGGAGGCGCGGCCCCCATTGTTACCGCCGGCAGCGGCGGGGCCGGGCGGGCCCCGGGAGCACGGCAGGGCCGGAGCCGCCCGGTCCCGCGGCCCAGCAGGCCCGGCGGCCCAGCCCCACGGCACACAATAGGGGCGACCGGCCGGAGGGAACCGCCGGGGGGGCCCGCGGGGCCGGGTGGGAGCCCCCGCGGCGGCGCGGCGCCAAGCCGGGCCCGCACCCGGGAGGCGGGTGAGCGCGGGCCGCTTCCGCCCTCATGGCCGCGGCCGCCATTCCCCGCCCCCCCCGCCGCCCGCCTCCAGCCCGCCCGCCCGCCCGCTCTCACCTGCGGCGGCCGCGCTCTACGCCAGCCCCCGGCTGCGGCCCGGCCCACTAGGCCGCGCGGGGCCCGGCGGCAGCGGCGGGGCGCGGCGGCCGCCCCCGGAGCGGCGCGGCGGGACCGGGCGGGCGGCGGCGGCGGGGCCGAGCAGGCCGAGGGGTGCGCGGTGGCGGCGGAACCGGGGGAAAGGCTTGGGGGGGGGGGGGGGGGGGATTTAAAGGGGCCGCGCGCAGTTACCGGAGCCGCCGCCGCCTCCGCGCAGCCAACTTTACCTGGGTCTCACCACACTGACAACTACCAGCGGCGCCCGCCCCCATCACGTGACGAGGGCGCGGGGGCGGGGACAGTCCGGCTTCACGTGAGAGCGGCTGCTCTCCCTCGCTCTCGCCCTGTCACGTGGCGGGGGCGCGGAGCGGCTTCGGCGGCCGCCATGTTGTGCGGCCGCGGCCCGGGCCGGGGATGGCGGGGGCCGGCAGCAACTGGCTCTCCGGGGTCAACGTGGTGCTGGTGATGGCCTACGGCAGCCTGGTGAGCCCCGGGGGACGGAGGCGGGCCGGCCGTGGCCGTGGGGATCGGGCCTTCATGGAACCGGGCCCGGGGTGGCCGTGGGATTCCTGTGAGGCCGATCCTGGGGCGGCCGTGGGGCCGATCCTGAGGCGTCTGTGGGGCCGGGCCTGAGGTGTCCGTGGGGCCGATCTTGGGGTGGCTGTGGGACCTGTGTGAGGCCGATCCTGAGCTGTCCGTGGGGCTCCCGTGGGGCCGATCCTGGGATGTCTATGGGGCTGATCCTGGGGTGTCTGTGGGGCCGGGCCTGAGGTGTCCGTGGGGCCAATCTTGGGGTGGCTGTGGGACCTGTGTGAGGCCGATCCTGAGTTGTCCGTGGGGCTCCCGTGGGGCCGATCCTGGGATGTCTATGGGGCTGATCCTGGGGTGTCCATGAGGCCGGGCCTGAGGTGTCCGTGGGGCCGATCTTGGGGTGTCTGTGGGGCTGATCTTGGGGTGTCTGTGGGGGTCTCAGGCCAATCGTGGGGTGTCTGTGGGGCTCCCGTGGGGCTGGGCCTGGGGCCTCTGTGAACCCGATCTTGGGGTGTCCGTGGGGCCCCTGTGAAGCCGGGACCAAGCTGTCCACAAAGCTCGGGTGAGACACTTCCCCGGGTATCTGTGGGGAGCTCTCACTGAGCTGGACTCAGGGCCTTCATGGAACTGGCCGGGAGTGCCCCGGGGGCCCCTGACATCTCTGGGGCTGGGGGAGGACGTGAGGAGGAGCCTCTGTGGAAATTGGGGTGTTTGTGGGGCCGGCCTGGGCATCCACAGGGCTCCTGATGGGCTGAACAGGGACCCCTGTGCGTGCTGGCTTTGGGGGGGGGGGGGGGCGTCTGTGGGGCCCTGTGCTCGCTCAGCGTGGGGTATCCATGGGGTCAAGAACAGGGTGTCAGCGGGGCTAAGCCGAGTCTGGCTGTGAGACCCCCTCAACCCCTCTGTGACCCCTCCAGGTCTTCGTGCTGCTGTTCATCTTTGTGAAACGCCAGATCATGCGCTTCGCCATGAAGTCCCGCCGCGGCCCCCACGTGCCCGTCGGACAGCACGCGCCCAAGGTGGGTGTGCGCCCTCCCTCCCCCCGTGCCTGTCCAGAGGGGCAGGCAGGGTCTGCTTCAAAATCCAACCTTCCCAGGACCTGCCATCTCGCTGTGGTGACGGGCAGTCAGAGAAGGAGCAGGTTTATTTCAGAGGGCCCCCAGACTCTTCTCATCCCTCTGATCCCACAAAGCGAGTGCTCCGTAAATACACTTTTTTTTCCCACTGTGCAGGATTTAAAGGAAGAAATCGACATTCGACTGTCAAGGGTGCAAGACATCAAGTACGAGCCGCAGCTCTTGGCTGAGGATGACACCAGGCTTCTGCAGCTGGAGACTCAAGGTACCTTCTCTTCCTGCCTCTCGGTCGGAGGCTGCTAGAGACACCGTCCGGTGCCTGTTCTGCTGCAGCAGGTTATTCCCCCGGCGCCAGCTCGTGTCACTGGCCTCTCTTGTTGGCTGTCCCATTGCAAGGTTGCGTTTGGCCAGCCAAGATGAGATGGTGTCTCTGCACTCTCCTCCTATCTGCTTTCCTCACCTCTCTCTTGCTGCCAGCTTTTGCAGAGCTTTCAGTTTGGGTTTTCTCTTTCCCAGGCTGCTATAACTACCTGTACAGGATGAAGGCGCTGGATGCGATCAGGACGTCTGGTAAGGGAGCTCAGGGCGGGAGTAGGAAGGGTGGAGAGAGACCGATGTGTGGAGGAAATAAGGGTGCGGCGTGCCAGCCAGCAGCCTCGTGATAAGGCTCAAGGTCCTGATTTGGGAGTAGCAGTCACTCACCCTGGCCAGGGCTGGCAGCCTGAGGGTCAGCTCTGCTGCTGCGTTGGGAGCAGTCAGCAAACAGGGGCAGCAGACGTGGTGGGACGTTTAATTAGCTGCCAATTTCTGATACTGTCTGCAGGTGACCACAAGCATGTCTACCTGCGCTTCAGCCCGTTGCGTTCTGCTTTTTTTCTTTTCCAGAAATCCCGTTTCACACAGAGGGCCGGTACCCAAAGTCTTTAATAGGGAGGAACTTCTGTGCCTACCTGCTGGAACTGCGGAATTCCAGCACCTCCTTCAAAGGCATCCGCAAAGCCTTGATCGACACCTTGCTGGATGGCTACGAGAGCGCCCGCTACGGCACCGGGGTAAGCGCCGGCGCTGCATCGGCCGGACCGAGGTCGTGCTGTAACCTCGGCTGGATCTTACACCGTCTTTTCTGTTTGCATCCAGGTGTTTGGGAAACCGGAATATCTGAAGTACCAGGATGCTCTGAACGAGCTGGCAAACATGTAAGTGTGACTGCCCGGGCGCGGTGGTGGCTTCTCGGGCCCCAGCAGCCCATCGGGGAGGTGTGAACAGAGACGGGCTTTGGGTGGTTTATGCCTGTCTGTCCTTCCAGGTTTACTTACCCCTTGCAGCCCGCCTGTTAATGCATTTCTGGGTTTGTTACTTGCTCACAGTCCACGTTCCTGCTTGCACTGGGACCTTGGGTGGGCTCCAGGCTTGGCACCTGCAGAAGCCCCGGCCTTGGTTTTCAAAACTGCAGTGAGCGCCGTCGTCCTGAGGGCAGATCTGCCTCGTGCTGGACGCGATGGTTGAGCGGCTCCTCTGGGGACGGCGGCAGCTGTGATGGTGTCTCTCCTCTCTGCAGGACCAAGGCCCGGGGAGGCAGCAGCCAGCGGCAGCACCAGTCAGCAGCAAAGGACCTCACCCTCTCTCCTGAAGTCTCCAACCCTGCCACCATCCAGGTCACCTACCTGCCTTCCAACCAGAAGAGCAAACGTGCCAAACACTTCCTGGAGCTGAAGAGCTTCAAGGACAACTACAACACGCTGGAGAGCACCCTGTGAGCGGCGCAGGGAGCACTGCTCCGGGGACCTGCCACGAGCAGAGCCCCTTGCTGGGTGCAGCCGGTGTCCTGAGCGGGTTTTGGCCGCGGTTTGGCGCGTGAGCAGCGTTGAGAGGAAGCGGCTGCGCTCCCGGGTCTCCCTCTCGCCCTGCGCTGGAGATCGTCGCTCGGCCGAGGCTCCGTTTTGGCCAGTGGAGCTCGGCCCTCACCAGGAGCCCGTTTCAAAGCGGCGTGCCCGCCTGCGGAACCCGGAGGGGATCGGCCTGTGCGGCCTCCTCCGCGCCAGGCTTGGGACACGCTTCAGCCTTGAGGCTTTGAGTCCAGCAACATCTTGGAGCCCTGGCCCTGTGAATAAACTGATTAGCTTTAGCTTATTTATAAAAGACATCGATCCCAGCCAGCGCTCTCCTCCACCTGTCCTCTTTCCCTGTGACAGCCGGTGGGGGCTGATGCTGTCTGTCCGTCCTGTCTGTGTGGGGCTTGGGCTCTGGAGCTGCTCGTCTGTTCTTTCCAAAGGGTGAATGCTCTTCTTTTCCCCGTGGCGCCATCGCTGCCTGCTGCTCTCAGCCAGGCGTGCCCGGGCTGCGCACCAGGATGCCTGGACAGAGTGTAAATAGTTTGGTGGCCAATTCTCGGCCGCCGCAGCTGAGGTGCCTCTTTGGGCTGCGGTTTCTACTTCTTTCTCCTGCAACTTGGCATTTGGAGACGTCTCGGGCAGACAAATACCAGCTTGAACGTCCTGTCTGTCCTGCCAAGGGGGTGTTTCCTCCCACTCTCACCAGCACCTCGCGTGCCAGCGGCTGCCGAGCTCCCGGGGAGGGGCGAAAGCTCGTGGCCCCCAACGTGACGTCTGCGTCCTGCCAGGCTGACGGCAGCGCCCACTGCTCACCAGTCACCGCAGCGTGTACCGCATGGGGCAGGGACCCCTGCCCCTCGCCTCGGCCTCTGCACTCTTTTTAATTGCTGTTTAATAAAAATGACAGTTAACCCCCAGCAGGATGCGTGCTGTCCTCTGACTGCAGGGAGCCCTTCCCCTGCCAGATCCAGGGCTGCATCTGTCCCTGTGCCGCTGCTGCGGTAACGGGGACGCCGCGGTAACGGGGATGCAGTTAACGGCCTGCCTGGGGTAGAGGGTTGCGGGGTCCCTGCGGCACCGGCCATGGCAGTGGTAAGCAGCCAGACCCCCTGGCTGTGGCAGGAGGGGGTGGGATGGGAGCAGTTGGGGACATCAGGGTGCACCGGCCACCCCCCCGACCCCCCCCCCAAAACGCTTTGCTTTGCTTGCAGGTCCCGGTGAAGGGGAACGCCTGTGCGAGGCAGCTGGAGAGGTAGAGCTGGTAACGGGAGCCCCCGGGGACTGAACCCCCGGTGCTGGGGGGCAAGCAGGCGAGGGGGGAACCCCGGCATGGGGCGAGCTGGGGCCCAGCCCTGCGGCCAGGCCGGAGGGGTGGGCGCTGGCGTCTCCCTGGCACCCTGCACTGCTCACCCACCCCGTTGTCCCCACAGCTGTGGGCAGCTGGGCAGGGGGCACCCGCGGTGCTGGGAGAGGATGTGGGCCGCAGCCCCCAGGGCACTGCAGCAGCAAGTGGAGCGGGAGCTGCGCCTCGCCAGCGAGGAGCAGCTGGTGGTGAGGCTGGGAACCGGTCAGGCAGAGCTGGGTGCGCTCGGCTTTGTGCCGCCGGCGTTGGGTGCCCCCTTGTCCCACTCCAGTACCATTTCCTAGGGGACAATGTCTCCCAGGACCCAGGGCGGGTGGTGGGGTTCAGCACCAGCTCCTGTGCCCGGCAGGTCCGCCGAGCCGCCCTGCACCGGTTTCTCCAGGACGAGCACCGGCAGCACCAGCGGGAGCTGCGCCAGCTCGGGGAAGCTTTCTACGTGGAGCGGCTGTGAGCGCCCGAGCTGGCGGGTTCAGCGCCGGCCTGGCATCGCCCGGCTTCCCGTCTGAGAATAAAACACGTCGAGCAAGATGGAGGGGGGGGGGGCTGCGTCTGCTGCGTGCCGGGACGCGGGATGGCCCTGGGTGGAGGTGGAGGGAAGATGGGGCCCAGCGCCATCCACGCGGCTGGGATCGGGTGGCATCGCCCGTGACCCCACACACCCTGGATCCCACACGCACGGTCCCGGCCACGGCCACGCCAGGAGATGGCAGCACGGCTGGCGCGTCTCCGCCGAACCGTGCCAGCGTCGGTCACGCTCTCCCGTCCCCCCCGTGGCTCCTGGCCCTGCGGCACAACCCTGCAGCATCGAGGAGAGGAGCTGGTGCGATGCTGCCCGGCCCCGCTCACCATTTGGGGACCCCCGTCTGCTCCCCAACTGGGGTGGCCCTGTCCCCCCGCCTCCTGTCCCTGCTGCTCGCGCCTGACCTTGGTGTCTCCTGCCCCCAGGGCCCATCAGCGCCTGCCCTGGCTCTGCTTATTGACAGGGCTGGGGGCCGCTGGGCTGGCCCCCCCCCCCGGCCCACGGCCCTTCATTAGCTCGGCTGTCAGGTTGCATCACATCAGCCGCCGCGGCACGCGTGCCCCCCTGGCTCCCGGCATCGTGCTGCCACCACATGTGTCCCCGCCGTCCCCCACTGCCACCCCCCGTGGGGACAGAGCCCCTGGTTCCCCAGCCCAGGCAGGCAGCGGGGCCGGGGCTGTGCCTCTCTCTGTCTCCCCATGGCACTCAAGGCTCAGGCTGCCCCACATCCTGCCCCATTGACCCCTCAAAATTTGGGACCCCACAAAGCCCCCAGCCCGAGGTCGGTGCATCCCGTTACGGCGGGGAGACGTGTACCCCCAGCACCCCGAGAAACCCTGTGGGGACTCCTGACTGGACACCACCGTCCCAGTCCCAACAACCACCCCAGAGCGGGCCAGGGGTCCCGCCTTTGTCACCCAGCTGCGCCCAGCATGGGGGGGCCACATCCACATGAGAGATGGGGCCGGGCGACAGGTCTCCCTGCGGAGGGAATGCTCCCGTGGACAGGGGGTCCCAGCAGCTCCCCCAGAGCGAGACGGGGATGCAGGAGGTGGGGACGTGGGGTGCAGCCCCCCCCCCAGCGCCGGCCAGGGCTCGTCCTTGGGCAGGGTCACACGCAGCCCCTCCGTGGCACAGAGCCCACCGGGACAGGGCCGGCTCCCCGGTATCGACGGCCCCGCTAATGACGGCGGAGTGTGACCAGGGGCAGGCACGGGGCCATCGACCCGTATCGACCGGCTGCGCTCGGCGGCAAGGGCGCAGGGGTCCGCGGAGGGGGGCAGGGGGACGTCGAGGGGTGGTAATTAATGGGAACGAGGCCACGTGCACGGGGCCAGGGCGCTTGCCGATGGCGTGTGTCATCCCCCCCCCCCCCCAACCGGCTGCGGCTGAGCGCCGTTATAAACGCCGGCTGGGCGACCCCCCAAGCCAGACCACCGAGGAGCCCCCCGAGCTGGCCCAGGTAAGGCAGTGATGGATGTGGGGTCCCCTCAGCCCCGGGACGGGTGGGCAGCGCTGTCTGCTGTGCCGTGCCTTGCCGTGGCGTGCCATGCCATGCCGGGAGACTGTGCCCATACTGCCCTGCTCTGGCTTCAGCCCCGCGGCTGGATGCCTCTGGCTCAGGGACGGTATTCCAGAGCATCCCAGTATCGGCACAGCCACCCCAGTGGGCTCCAGACACTGAGACGAGGCTGGGGTGCTGCCTGCACGGTGCCCCTGTGGGTCCTGCCTGGGCAAATGGTGTGGAGTTTTCCCCCTCTCCCCCCCCAGTTCTCAGCCTCTCCTTCTCTCCTTCTCTTGCAGGGAGCCACTGTCCACTTCCACTTCCTTCTGCCCCTGCCTCTGTCTGATATGTTTGATATTAGGTTGTTTTATTGGAAAACCAACTAAATATCAAACATATTCTTACAGTGCCAGGGATGCCCAGCGCCGACCTGGCAAGATACTGCCTGCGCCTTCCCACGGGCAGAGGGGAAGTTTGGGGGAGGGGGGGGGGCCTCTGTACCCCTTCCCGCACCCCCAACCCACCCTCTTGCTACTGCAATAAATCCTGTCCGCCCGTGCCACGCGCCTGTGTCGGCGGGACCGGAGCTGCCGTCCCCGGGGGCCGGCGGAGGTTTGGGATGGCGGCGGGGTCGGCGCTCACCACCTGTCCCCCTGCTCGCGCCCAGGATGAGCCCAGGACAAAAGCGCGTGGCCCCGTGCCCACTGCCGGCCCCGCTGCCCCGATGGGCAGGAGTATTTATGGCTCCCGGGGCACAGAGGTGCAGCGGCCGCTCGGGGCCCTTCGTGGGCACCGTCCTGCCTGGTGCCCTGCCGCGGGAGCGGGGACCTGCCGCTGGGGTTGGTCTCTGTCTCCTGGGGTCCCTGAGTGCTGACCCTCTCAGCCCCCAAAATCTGTCCCCGCATGGGAGCAGTGGGTCTCCCCCGTGGGAGATCCCGATCTGGCTCACGGAGCCAGCGGGACCTTGGTGCTGGCGCGAGGAGGCTGTTAATCTCCTGGCTGCGTAGGAAGTGCTGCTGCTCTCCCTGAGAATTCCTCCCCGCGCCTGGGGAATTTGCTCCTCCAGCTGCCAACATCATCTTCATCCTCGCCACCAAGCACCAGCTTGGCCGGAGCAGGGCTTGGGGCTCAGCGGGCTTCCCCGGTGGGTTCTTCTGCGGGTGTCGGGCTCGACTCCCCCCACTGCTCCCTGCTGAGCCAAACAATTCGGGCCAGGGGCTGCAGCTAAGCCCCTGCTCTTAAAATAGCACTGGGCTGAGCTCGCCCTTTTCCACGCCGCCCCCGGATATGGGTAAATGTCAGCCCAGGGGCCACCAAAACATCCTGAACCCCCAGTGGGGTGCAGACCAGGAGGGGCTTCGCTGCTGGTGCCGCGTGGACCCGGCTCGGCGTCCCAAGCGTGTCCCAGGGGAGTGCCAGGAAGATGCACAGTGTCCCCATCATGCTGGCCAGGGTGTCCCGTTGCACCGGGGGAGCGGGCAGCCAGGACAATGCAGAACCCCCCATTCGCAGCCCTGCCACTGCTTTTTATAACCACCCCAGCTGTCTCCAGGAGCCCAAATAAGGCTGCGGCTGCCCGGACCCCCCCAGGACAGACAATGGGTCTCGAGCACAGACTTTTTGGGAAGGTGGGGAGGCAGCTCGGCCCAAGAAAGGCAAAGCCCCCCGCACCAGCGGGCAGGGCAGGGTTGATAAACCGGGCAGCGGGGTGTCAGGCAGCACTGCCGCCTTGCCTGCCCCTTGCCTGCCGCCCCGCCACCGGCGCCCGTGTCCCTCCGAGGATGGAGGCCATCAAGAAGAAGATGCAGATGCTGAAGCTGGACAAGGAGAATGCCCTGGACAGGGCAGAGCAGGCGGAGGCTGAGCAGAAGCAGGCAGAGGAGCGGAGCAAGCAGGTAGGGCGGGTGGCAAAAGCCCCCAGCCTGGGAAGTTTGGGGGGGAGTTGGCTTCTCCGTGGGCTGGAGCATGCTGAGCCCAGATGCAATGGAGACTCTGGCAAAGGGTGCAAGGGCGTGAGAGCTGCCGCTGTCCCGCAGCTCAGGGGCTGGGTGGTGGTCGTGGGGCATCCTGAGGGCTGCCCTGGGCTCAGCCCCCTGCCAGCTGATGGCACGGGGGACAGGGACGGACACTGTGGGGCAGAGCTGGCCCCGGGATGGGGCAGGAGGGACGCTGTGGGGCAGGGATGAGCCCAGGATGGGGTCGGCAGGGCTCTCCTGCCGAGCGGGGGTCCAGAGGGACACCCACCTGCGGTGACTGCTGCTGCCCTTCCAGCTGGAGGACGAGCTCGCCGCCATGCAGAAGAAGCTGAAGGGGACGGAGGATGAGCTGGACAAATATTCCGAGGCTCTGAAAGATGCCCAGGAGAAGCTGGAGCTGGCGGAGAAGAAGGCGGCGGATGTACGTATGGGGGGCAGGGTGGGAGCTGGGTTGGCTGCCCTCCCCTTGTCACCCTCCCGGTGGGACTGCAGCCCTTCCCCAGCACCTTGGGGGGCAGAGGAAGGTCCCTGTCAGGCTTGGTGTGCTCCCGGCAAAGCTGTGTGGGTGTCTGGGAGCAGAGAGTGACCCCAGCAAGGACACCGAGTCACGGTTGCCAGCGGAGGAGCTGACCTCCAGAGGAGGAGGGAGCCCTCGTCTCCCCGGGGCAGGCGGAGGCTGCGTGGGCAGCGTGACAACTGCACAGCCAGGCTATTGTTGGACACCGCTTCCAGGAAAACAATGGTGTGAGCGGTGCAGGGTTTCACCGGCCGGCCGCCGTCTGGGCCCGCTCGTCGGGACTCTGACCCCACGGGGCCATGAGGGTAGAGCATCGGGGAGATGCAGATCTTCCCTCCTGGGAGAAAGCCCCTGGCTCCTCTCCCTCGACGGGCGCAGCTCCAACGTCAAGCCCGGAGGCAGGAGCCTTCCCCTCCTGCTACACCACCAAACCCCGGCACGGCGCCTGGGCTGGCTCTTGCCGGCACATCCCGGCCCTGAGCAGGGGGCCAGGGTGTCACCAGGATCTCCCCAGCCCTCCCCGAGCCCCCGGGGCAGTTTGTCAACCCCCGCGGCTTTGCTCATGGCGTGGCTGAGCGTGTCGGCAGTGCCGGAGCTTGGCACATTGCAGAGCTCGGGGGGGCCCTTTCCCTGCTTCGCACCCTTCTTCCCTCCCTTCGCTCCCCACTGGCATTTTCACACTCCCTGCCGTCACACTGAACCCCTTTCTGCGCATTTGGAGACCCCTTTTTCTGTCCATCACCCCACAGGGCGGCTCTTGGGGCTCCCCTGGTTTCGCTCAGGGAAGCAGAGGGGCAGGAGGAGGGATTTTGCACCCCGGAGCTGCCCCCCAACTGCCTCCCGGCTCCTTCCAGATGGTGGGAGCGCACAGGATCAAGCCCTTTCGGCTATCAGCTCATCTTGGGGGGGGACACTCCGAGCCATTCGGCCAGACGAATGTGTGCCAGGCCTCTCCACCCCGGCCAACGCACCCCTGGGGCACACACCTGCCAGGCTGCGGAGGATTTTAGGAGGCGGCACAAGGGCAGCAGCCCAGCACCACTTTCCATTTTATTCGTGCGCCCGAAGCGCTGCCGAACAGGCTTCGTGGCAAGCGAGGGGCAGCGACAGGTCTCGGGGGGGGTGTGTTTTTTTTTACTGAGCTATCAGAGGGGCTGCACGACCCTCGTGGCACGGAGGAACGGCGCTCTCGGCAGCGTTTTCTGCCTTAACTGAAACCGGAGAGTTTTAGCGATGGCAAAAGGTGGGTTTTGGCACGTGGTGGGAGTCTGGCACCCGGCGCTCTGTCCCCGGGGGGGAAGGAGGGGAGCGTGATCTGCCCGTGGGGCTGAGGGACGCGGTGGCCCTGGGGCTGCAGAGCCACCCGGCCATGGGACCCTGAGGGGTGAGGGGCTGCGTGGGGCAGGGGCCGAGGGGCACGCACCCCCCCAGGGCAGGACGTGGAGGCCGGTGTGGGGCAGGGCCCAGGTCCTCAGGGGACTGTCCCTGCTCATGACATGTGGGGTAGGTCCCAGTGTCTCCCACCCACGTGGGGCAGGTCCCCATGTCCCCAGGTGTCTGTGGGGCAGGTCCTGGTGTCCCCACACCTGTGTGGGGCAGGTCCCCATGTCCCCAAAGCTGCACGGGGCAGGTCCCAGTCTCCCCACACCCGCGTGGGGCAGGTCCTGGTGTCCTCCCCACCAGCGTGGGGCAGGTCCCAGTGTCCCCACACCTGCGTGGGGCAGGTCCCAGTATCCCCACACCTGCGTGGGGCAGGTCCCCATGCCCCCAGACATCCATGGGGCAGGTCCTGGTGTCCTCCCCACCAGTGTGAGGCAGGTCCCCATGCCCCCAGGCATCCATGGGGCAGGTCCTGGTGTCCCCCAACCCATGTGGGGCATGTCCCAGTGTCCCCCCACCCTCGTGGGGCAGGTCTCAGTGTCCCCACCCCCACGTGGGGCAGGTCTCCGTGCCCCCAGGCATCCATGGGGCAGGTCCCAGTGTCCCCACACCCGCGTGTGGCAGGTCCCAGTGTCCCCCCACCCGCGCGGGGCAAAACCTGCTGTCCCCACACGCACGTGAAGCAGGTCCCCGTGTCCCCAGGCGTCCGTGGGGCAGGTCCCAGTGTCACCCCACCCACATGGGGCCGGTCCCGGTGTCCCCCTACCCGCGCGGGGCAAAACCTGCTGTCCCCACACCCACGTGAAGCAGGCCCCCGTGTCCCCAGGCGTCCGTGGGGCCGGTCCCGGTGTCCCCCCACCCGCGCGGGCCCGTCCGGCTGCCCCCCCGCCGCCGCCGCCGAACCGGACGGCTCCTCCCCGTCTCCACGGCAACGCGGGTGGGAAAGGGCGGTGGCGGCAGCCGGGAGGGAGGGGGGGCGGAAGTGACGTCACTTCCCGGGCGGTGGAAGCGGGGGGCGGTGGGTTCCGGTATTTCAGGGCGGGGCTGGCGCGGCGGGACGGGACCGGGACCGCGACCGGGAGCGGGAGGATGGCGGGGGCCACCACCATCGAGGCGGTGAAGCGCAAGATCCAGGTGCTGCAGCAGCAGGCGGACGATGCCGAGGAGCGGGCCGACCGCCTGCAGCGGGAGGTGGAGGCCGAGCGCCGCAACCGCGAGCAGGTACCGCCGGTACCCCGGGGATCGGGGGGGGGGGGGGCGGCTGCCCGCGCCGCGGATACCTGCTGGCACCGAGTGGGGGGGATTCATCCCCGCGGTGGTGGTGACTCTCGCTGGGGTTCCCCGGTGATGCCCCGGTGCTGCGGAGCGACCGGAGCCGGAGGATCTTTCTTCCGTCCTTCCCGGTCCCCTGTAGCTGGAAGCGGCTGGTGGGGCGGGGGACCCGAGGCCCGTGGGGAGCCCCGGGGGTGGGCGGCCTGTCCCCGGTTGGGTTCGCTCCGAGCTGCGGGAGAGGAAGGGGAGGAACCCGGCCATCTTGTCTGGCCCCGTGTTGCAAGCGCGGAGGTGCGAGTAGCCTTGGCGTGGGCTGGCAAAATGGAAGTGGTTTCACTCGTGATGCTGCCAGCGCGGGAGCCGGGTGGGAAAGTCCCGAATCCCGCGTCTTGTCCAAATCCCGGTGAGCGGGGGTCTCCGCTGCCACGGGTGGGCTGTTCCCCGGAGCGTGCTGCGGGCAGGCAGGGACTGGGCTGGGGTTGCTTGGAGGGAAGGAAGGACCGGCCGCGGCAAAATCAGAATGGGTGGGCGCCCACTCGCCTAACTGGGTCTGGTGTCGGTGCGTGGGGTGACACGGGGCAGGTCCTCGTGGGTGACTGGCTGGGATCTGGGTGTGACTCTCCGCAAATCAAATTTGCGCAGTGTTGCTTCTCTTCAAAACACGAAGCAGAGGAGTTTTCCCACCCCCCCCCAAGTCTGATGTCTGGGGCGAGCAGCGTGGTGCTGCTGCTGTGGGACCCACCGGGTTTTGAGGCTGATGGCAGCGGCTTCTGCCGCGCAGTGGGACGAGGCCACTCCCAGACCTCAGCTGGGCTCTTTCTTCGCAGCCACATAAGGAATTCTCTTGCAATAGCGGCGTTGTCATGGGAACATAAGTGTTTCTCCCAGCTCACTGGAGCCTCGCTACAGGGGAGAGAACCCAGTGTCGTGGTGTCTTGTAGTCACCCTGTGGCCTGGCCCTTGGGTCCTGAGGAATGTCCCTGTTAGATCTCTGTGGCCCGAGGAAGCGATGGTGAGCCTCAGAGGCTGAGGCCAGCTCTGCCCGTGGCTTGCCGGGCTCCTGGTAGCTCCCTGACTCAGAGCTGCCTTCCTGAAGGAAGCACGGAGTAACGGGAACGTGCTGCTGCTTGGCAGTGGGGCTGCCTGGAAGTGTCACCCCTGTGCTCCGGGGAGGCCTGACAGCTTCAGCTGCGTCCAGTGAGGAGAAGCAAAAAGGGAGGTACAACGACCCTCCTGCAGAGGGAGAGTCAGTTCCTGGTGGGTTTTTTTTGGGTGGGTTAAGCACTGCCTGCAGGAAGTCAGGGCTAAATGATGTGGGTTTGAGGGGGATCAGGAAACGGAGGCCTGCTATGCTGGTGTGTCTCCATCCCCTGGGAGAAGGAGGAGGCTCTCCACCTTGACAGCTCATTGCCTCTTTAATGGGTAAAAGACGTATGTGTGCAAGCAGTCTCCTTCCCAGTTCTGTTTCGCGTATCGTTTCGTTCCTCTTTGAGCAGACCACTTCCTCCTCCGGAGGAACGTGCTGGTGGGGTTGGCTCTGGGGCAGCCTGCTGCAGCGCTGCCTTGTTTGAGCATTGGAGTGTTGCGGGTTTCCCCGGTGAGGAGCAGGGCGTGCCAGCCCAGGAGCTCCTCTTTTAACTTGCGTTCTCACAACCCGGTTTTGAAACATGCTGCAGGGAGGGGGGTTGCTGAGCACCTCGCTGCCAACAGGGAGGAAGAGCTCAGACAAACTCTCCCGGGAACTGGATGCGATTTTTTTCAGGCCCTGCTCTAACACTGGCTTCTTTCATCGCTCTGCTCCTCCCTCCTTGGGCATGGTTAGAAGCAGCGTGTACTTGCAGGCTGCTTTGTTATAAGTAACTGGGATATTTCATATATGCCTGGCATGTGCCTGTGCACGGGTCTCTGTAGAAGATCACAGTGCTGCCCTGAAATGGCTGCAGCCCTGTCCATCTTTGTACCAGCGCAATAATCCTGCTGGAGAGCAGGGTTCTGGGTTCCTGCAGGGTGACTCAGGTGGGGTGTTGGTATCCCCAAAGTGTCTAGTCTTCCCCCCAAACTCTTGTCAGGGTTGACGCGGACTGGGCTGTAAGCAGACGCCTCGTGGTCCGTAGCAGTGCTGCTGTAACATGCCTGGCTGGGGGGCTGTGATGGCTTCTGAGCTCTGCTGATTCACTGGGGCCTTGGTTGCTTTTGTGGTCATGCTTCTGGCAAACATGCGGCACCTGCGGGCTCTTGGCGATTTCACCAGCTCCTGGCATGTATGGTGAACAGAGGTGGCTGTCTGCATGTGGCTGTTGCTGGTGGAGAGACTCCTCAGCCTGTCCCAAGGCTGGGTGAGGCTTTTGCTCTTTCTCTGGGTTATTAGTGGAGCGCTGGGAGGAAGGAAGCCCAGAACACAGCTGGCTCTTGGCCTTGAGCTGCTGGGGTCATGGGCGCTGCAGTGATCGGCTGAGCCCTGCTGCTGCCCCAGGTCGGGGCACTCTGCTAGAAAGCCTGGCCTGACACAGCTTGGCAGACCTCTAAACCTGAAGCTCTTAATCTTTCTCACGTTGCTGATGAGAGGGCTTGTTTAAAGCAATACTCATGTCCAGATCACATGAGTAAACTGACTGTGCTAAGTGGTAGCTGGTGTGGTAGATAAACAGGACTGTGATTGATGGCCTGGCAGGATCACAGCAGCTGCAGAGAAGACCCATTAGTGTAAGTCATCTACTTAGTGTTTATGGCTTAAACTGTCATGTCAGCTCAAGCTGACAGGCGAGAAACCTGCAGGATGACTGCTGCATGGACAAAGCATGCATGTGAAATGTGGCGAAGCTTAACGTGTGTGCAAGTGTATGGGCGTGCAGCCTCTGTAAGAAAGTGGATAAAGCACTCTGGCTTTGTTTTCGCTTCCTGTGTGCTGCTGCTGACCTGAAGGCAGACCTCAGCTGCCCTGTGCTAACTGCTAAACCTGCCACAGACTGAGTCACTCTCATCTGCTCCCTCTAGGCTGAGGCAGAAGTGGCATCTTTGAATCGCCGTATCCAGCTGGTAGAGGAAGAGTTAGACCGAGCCCAGGAGCGCCTTGCCACAGCTCTGCAGAAGCTGGAAGAGGCAGAGAAGGCTGCGGATGAAAGTGAAAGGTGAGCAAGGGCTGCTGCTCTCACTCTGTCAAACATCTCAGATATGTTCCTGACCGAGGGCCTGGTGCCATCAACCTCTTGGGATTCCTGGAGGGTGGGAAGTAGATACCACATCAAGGCTGGATGTGGGAGTCGGTACCCGCTTATGCAGAGTGACTAAAACAATGCTGTTGGCTTTGAGTGAGTATCTTGGAACCTGAGGTTAAGGAGTGAGTGCTGCGTGCTACTGTGCATCCCGACCTCCAAGGGAGGAGAAATAGGTGGGTTCTGGGACACTGACTTTTAAAGGTGGCTGCTGGTGAGGAAGCCTTTCTTCCCATTGTCTCTGCCAGCATCCGCCCTTCTGGCAGATGTTCCCTGACCTGGCAGTGTGATTCAGAGGGGAACGGTGCACTTCCAGTTGGCTGATGTGCTTCATCGGTGCACATGCTGTAGTGAGCAGCCTGACCCAGCTGATGTCCTGCCATAAAGACTTGGCTCTTCCTCCATTCCGGCCTGGAAAGTGCTTGGCTCAGCCCTGTGGAGTCCCTAGAACAGCCTGGCTTGTTCTTCTCAGCAGCATCACATTTCCCTTCGTCCAAGAGCCCAATGAGCTGCTGGAGTCATGCTCCAAGGAGCAGTTAATTCTGAGCAATCGGGATTGTATTTGCATCAGCTCAGTGGTGTCTGTCTTCCTGTGCTACGCTCTGCACTTGGAGGTGTCACAGCTCATAAGGAAGCAACGTGGTCCTGGGGGAGCACTGCTAATGCTCTGAAACTTATTACCCTGCTGGCTTGTCCAGGATTGTTTTATACGTCTCCCCTCCCTGTGCTTTCTTTTGGGCAGAGGCATGAAAGTCATTGAAAACAGAGCTCTGAAGGATGAGGAGAAGATGGAACTGCAGGAGATCCAGCTCAAGGAAGCCAAGCACATCGCAGAGGAGGCGGACAGGAAGTATGAGGAGGTGAGACTGTTGGATGCTGTAGTACAGCTGACCCTGGCCAGGAGAGGTGGCTCCTCTTCCTGCTGGCAAGGCTTTCCTTGGCAATCCTGGAGGGGAGAGCCTGGCTCTCAGCAGAGCTACATCAGTGCTCCCCTCAGCCAAAAGACTCTGGCAGCTCCAGTGACTCCTGCAGGCATTCCCTTTACTGCCTTCCACAGCCTGCAAGTACAAAATCATCTTCCTTACTCTTAACTCCAACTCTCCCTCCCAGGTTGCTCGGAAACTGGTGATCATAGAAGGAGATCTGGAGCGTACCGAAGAGAGAGCTGAGCTTGCAGAGTCGTGAGTAATCTGCTTGCATGTAACTGGCACGTCTACCTTTGCATGGGAACTAACACAGCATTTCTAACCTTGTTACACAAGGCCTGAAGCACAGGGTGGGTTTAGATCTTTGGATGAGAGTTGGCAGCACTCTCCTACTCGGAACAGGATTAGGTCCACTGTGGATGTGGAGTTTGCAATAATGTGATTCGCCTTGTAGTGGAGATGTTCTGCCCCTTTGCATGGAGGGACTCCCTAGTTTGCAAGGCCAGAGACGACTCCTCTGCTCAGCATTCACCAGCACTGCTTTGTACATGTGGTCACAAGATCCTTACACATTGCTATGGGGCACGAGAGTGCACAGTGCTTGTCCTAAAGCGGCGGAGGCCTCCCGGGCTGGGAGCTGAAGTGGCATGTGGGATGTCCAAGGGCGGAACTGTGGCTGAGGTTGGTCTCTGGCATCTTAAAATATTTGCAGTAATCACCACAGGCTTCTGCACACTGCTGAGCAGCAAGCTGGACTTCCTCTGCTCGGAGCAGATGCACAAATTGTGGTGTGTGGGCTCCTTTCACACATCTGGATGCTTTAGCTGGTCCTTGAGGAGCTGGTCAGGGCCTTTCTGTGCTCTGGGCCTTGTCTAACAAAGTTAGTATGTACGCAGCAGTAGCACTGTGCTTCCTGCCCGGACATGCATGTCGTGACCATGACTTTTTTGTGTTTTTCCCCCTACCCCCTTTTTCGCTCTGCGGTATTGTGTTATTGGTGCTCCTTTTGACCCTTGCCCCCACCTGGCTTGTGCCATCGTGTGACCATCACTAACAGTCGTTGCCGGGAGCTACAGGAGCAGATCAGAGTGATGGACCAGAACTTGAAGTGTCTGTCTGTTGCCGAAGAAAAGGTACTAACCTTTCCCTTCTCGAACCATTAAACCAGAACTCCTGTGGTCTTCTTGCCACGCTCCTTCCCTCAGCTTAACTGCATCTTTCTCTCTCCTGGAACGGTCTCTCCTCTCTGCCTGTAAATATTGCTGTCTCAGTGGTGGTGGCTGTCCATCTGTCTGTCAGAACAGCTTCCCTCCCCTCAGCAAACTAAACATGCAGCGTCTACTTGAAGACTCCAGGTCCAGCAGAAATCTGTGTCCACATCTCAGCGGCTCAGCTTGGTGCCCTGCGCATGTGCTGGCAGAATACTTAAAATACAAACTTAGAGGAGGGAAGGGAACTTGCTTTCCGCACAAGTGCCTCAAAGCAGGGTCCCATCCAGTCTGTTTGCAGACCGCCTCCTAAAGAACTACCTGGTCTTCCCTGCACATGGATTTACTCCTTGTCTCTCCTGTCTTTCCTTCCCACTTCTTTTTCTTTTTCTCCCCCCTTTGTTTACAAAACCCCACAGTAAATGTTCCGAGCTGGAAGAAGAGCTGAAGAATGTCACCAACAATCTCAAGTCTCTTGAGGCTCAGGCTGAGAAGGTAGGGCTGCTTGTCCAAGGGCCAGAAATATTTCTGTTTTGCTAGGAGGGTGTGTGACAGCAGAGCACCCACTGGGATGAAAATGATGCCACTGCAGCCTTAAGCAAGCAAGGAGAGCTGTGCTTGCTGTCCCGGGAGAGCTAACGGATTTCAGTGCAGGGCTAATGTTGACTGTAGAAGCTGGGAGTGCGGGAAGTCTGGCTGCCCTTCCCTGCCTTGGGGCAGACTTGATAAGCCACGATGTTTATGCTGCTGGGATGAGAATTTTTCTGCGCCCAAGTTTATGTGCATGTTGTGGGACTTGCTGCCTGACCCAGTTCTGTTGGACTGGGGCAGGGATGTGAACAACTCCCAGTTGAAAGTTTCTGTGGGCATGTGCTCTGCAGTGAGGATTTTAAGTCGCTCTGGAGTGGGAAGTACCTGGGGCTGCTGAGAGCTGACTGCTGACTCCTATCCTTTTCCACAGTACTCTCAAAAAGAGGATAAATATGAAGAAGAGATTAAGATCCTGACTGATAAACTCAAAGAGGTGAGTGACCATGTTGGGACAGCCCAGCTGGGTGACCTGGCCTGTTTGCCTGGGGAGAGACATGGTGGGTGGGAGACTTGATGTCCTCGGGCTGATGCCTCTGTAGTCCTTTGCTGTATCCCTGAACTGCTGTACTAACTGTCTCGCTTCTGTCTGGCAGGCGGAGACCCGTGCTGAATTTGCTGAACGGTCTGTAGCCAAGCTGGAGAAGACCATTGATGATTTGGAAGGTACATTCTGGGCATGGGAAGCCAAAGAATATGTGGTGAGGAGTGGGGAGCTGAGGGAGGCTGTCTCCCAGATAGCTGGAGAGTGGAGATACTGCTCTGCTCCCCAATACTTGGGGCATGACCTAACTCTGCCTTCGAGGTGAGGCTTGGTGCCTCTGGGCTCAAAAGTCATGCCATGAAAACAGTTCCCTGGCTGTGCTGTGGCAGGTCTCAAGCTCTTGATCCAAACACCTTGCCATATCTGACTGATAGTGACAGATAGCGTGGCTGGTGTATCTTGGTTGTGATGCCCTCAGGAATGTAACTGGATTCCTGTGCTCCAGCTTAACCCAATTTAAGGAATGGCATAGGAAGAAAAATGCCTGAACTCAACAGGAATTGGTTACGATATCATACTTATGTGCAGAATCTCATGCATGTGGCTGGCCGCTGCAGACAGTGTTGCTGCAAGTCAACCACAGTAGTCAGTCTTGAAACAGCCCCTGTGAAGAATCAAACTCCCCAGTATTGGTCCTGGTTCAAGATGGAATCACCAGAAGCCCCATCCATGCAGTGTGATGGTCAGTGGGTGCCAAGGATGGGTGCCTTTCCTCCTGTTCCTGGTTTCACAGTGCTTCAGGAGCACTCCTGAGGCCAGCCGTTGCAGTATCCTACCTTTCCCCCAAGCTGTGGAAGGAGAAGGTTCTAACTGCCTCCCCTAAATCTGGGGCTGTGGCTGGATTCTTCTGCGGATAGCTGTGGCTGGGGCTGTGGTGCTGGCAAACCAAAACTCTTGCAGGCCTCTGGCCTCGACCACAGCATGTCTTTTAGTGCCAGGTCTTGGAGATTCAAAGCCTCATCCTACTGTCTAGAGTCACTCGGGAGGTTTTTTTAATCTAGAAATAGCAGGGGTGTCAGCTGAGCTGTTCCAGAACTGCAGCCAAGCAGCAATTTGAGCCACCTCATGATCCAGGGCAAGCTTTTATTGGGAACTGCAAAAACTCCTCCAAATCCTTGCATGCTCCCCATGAAACACGTTGATTGAGTGTTGGCTCCAGTCTCCTGCCTTGCTGCTGAAGTGACCTAGTTTATGACAACTGACAAAGTTCTCTGGGCTCCATGAAGCTGTTAACAACATTACCAGCTGTACTGTAGCCTAGGCAGCCAGAGCTGGGAGAAGTCTGTGCCAGCTCTGCTCAGTGCTCGAGGAGTGGATCAGTAGGAGTTTCAGGACCGCCTCCTCCCCTGAAGGTGGGTGATCTGCCGGTCTGCTCATTATCTGATGAACACAGGCGTGGCCTGTCTGGTCTGCTCACCCTGCCTAGCTGTGTACTGCAGGATGGGAATTCCCTCTGCCCAGGACTATTACGTGACTGACTTCTCCCAAGCTGTTTTTTGTATTGAGACTGAAGGTGAGAACAAAGCACCTCAATTAATCTGTGCCTTCCTTAGGTGTAGCAAGCTTCTCCCTAAGTGGATGAAGTTGCCGTTCCCTGCTACTCCTCCTGTCAGTGGTTGTTGCTGACCTAGCTGGGCAGCTTGTTCGCACAAGCAGATGTGGTTTGAGTTCTTGGCTCTGCTCCCCTCAGATCTGGCTTGTAATCCTGGAAGGCACTTGCTGGTCAGACTGTCCTCAGGCTATTGGAACCCTCCCATTCATTGTTGGAAACTAATACAGAGTCATGGTGGCTCCACATAGAACTTCATTTTCTTCTGTTCATGAATCCCATGCTGCTTTTCCTGCCCCAGGGTGTTGGAAGAACTCCTCTGCCTTCCCTCATTGTTTCCCTTTTGTTCTCCTCCTAAACCTCTTCTAGATGAGCTCTATGCCCAGAAACTGAAGTACAAAGCAATTAGTGAGGAACTGGACCACGCCCTGAATGACATGACTTCCATGTAAATATGAGCTGGCTGGTGTTTGCCTCTCGCTTCAGCAGGCTAGACCGCCAGAGCTTGCTTGGTTTGCTGTGATTTTCATAGTTGGAGAATCAATGGCACTGTGTTGTCTAGGTTACTTCTACAGATCTCTGCCTCGGGGATTGCGGAGGCTTCCCTGCAGCATGCTGTACTCTAACTCTAGGTCCTTGTGATCTGCATGTGTAACACCAAGTGCTGTGCTGGCCTGAAAGAGTTCTGACTTGAACTCTACGAGTGCAATTCCCAGTCCCACTGGGAAAGGCTTCCTAAGGTAACGTGGCGTAGCTGACTGCTGGAGCCACTGGGCCATGGTCTCAGGATTCCTCCTGGAAGAGGCTGTGGATAGCACTCGAGTGGATTCCTTAGGAATTGCTGTAACAGGCTTGAGATGGGCTGGATCGTGAACTGATCTGTGGAAGTAGCTGAACTCACATTTCTGCAACTTTTGCTACTTGGCTTTTTGTTCAGATTTGTAGCGGGTTCTGCTAACCGCTGCTCCGCGCAGTCCTTACCACTAACCAAGGAGAGGCCAGGTACTTGCACTGCAGAGGAAGAGCCTTAACGCTAGCGTCCAAAAGCTCCCTAAGCCAAGTTTGCTGTGCACAAACACTTAAGCTTCTCTTAAAATCAGTGTCTCCTTCTGTCTCACACAGATAAGTCTTGCGATTCCAAACTCCACTTTGGATTTGCCTCTCTGCTTGATGGCTTTTTCTGCGTCTGCACCCTACATTCATGCTCTTGTCATCTCACTCTGAATTCCAGTACCTTTTTCCAGTTACTGTGCACAGGGCATCCCTGGGAACAAGTGCTGTAAAGATGCTGAAGCTTGACAGCAGCAGCAGCCCCCCAGTTATGCTGCACTTGCTCCTAAACAAAGCTCCTTCTGTTTGACCCGACGTGCCAGACACTGCTGTGCTCTGAGGGGCTGCCCTTTCAATGTCTGGGTGTAGCTGGGAGTATGTTGTTCTCATCTGCATATCTTGTGTAGAACCATAAAGCTCCTTTTGTATTTCTCTTGCCTCTTGCTCGAGCATGATGTCACCTTTTTTTTAAGAAAAACAATTCTTGTATAAATTGAATGGAACGGCTGGTGCTTTTGAGAAATGGGCTTCTAGTGACCACTTGCTGCTTTAAAGTAACTGTTTCAATCTTGCCTTCAAACCAGTGTAACCCTCATCAACCTAGTTGGAATACACAGACTTCATTAATGTGCTGGATTTTTCCCTTCGAGTGTCGTACTAGCTCACAGATGTGAACTGCAGCTCTGCAAACGGTGCCTCGGCACTCGGCATGCTCTGCAGGGTCAAACGGGAACCTGGGGTTTGTAGTGGGAAGCCCTCGAGCTGTGCCTGGCTGAAGACACTCCTCACGCCTGCCCACTCCGTGGTGTTCACTGGCATCGGGTGCCAAATGCTGGCTTACAGTGGGAAGTCACCACATCTGATAGTTGCTAGGTCACTGGCAAGATGTGAAAGCTAATAAATATCAAGTGAGCTCTGGCTGGTTTCCAGTTGGCCAGGACTGGTTGGGTGTGAGGCGCCGCCTGTGCCTGCGGGAAGGATGTATGGCCTCTTGCTTCAGGAATGAGAATGCACCGCAGTAGGGCTGTGGACATCCGAGCCAGGGAATCCATGTTTTGCAGAGTCCTTGCCGTGGAGGGGCTGAGGGTGCCAGGATCCTCCTGGGAGTGTGGCATGGAGCTTCACACTGAGCACTGCAGCTGGCAGCAGGCTGCAAACACTTGACTTGCATCGCTGCTGGTCTGAGCCTGTTGCTAGTTACTCTGGTATCGTAAAAACTGATCAGCCTCTAGTAACTGCATGTGCTGCCTCGTGGTGGCTTGTCAAATACTTTTTCCTTTCTGGATTGGTTCATCTGCCGCAGTGCCCGAAGAGCCCTTCATGAACCAAGTTTTGATGAAATGGGACACCTCCCGTGGTTTCCTCAGGTTTGTGTTATGCCATTCTCCACACAAATGGCACTAGCAGTAAGGATAGTCCAGCCACACTGAACTGCCCCAGCCTGTCCTCACTCTGTCTTCTGTGTTAGGGCTATCCCCTCTCTGCTGGGTTTGGGTGGGGAAGGAGGGAGCATTCCCACAAGGAATTTCAAAGGGTAATAGCTTGGAAAGCTCTGACAGCTGGTGGTCTGACTCTCCTGGGGCATGGGGCAATAACAGTGCGCCCTGTAAGCACAAAGCAAGAACCCATAACTCCTCAGTAATCAAACCTGCAGCTGGAATAGGAGTCTAGATCCTGTGGGAGTGGCAGGGCTTCTGTCACCAGTGTTTGGGGGTGTAGAGGCTTCCAGCCCAGCATTCATTGTTGCCAGCTCTTACCAGGTGGGAGGTGGCACCCTGCCCTTGTGAAATGGCCTTTTTCTCCTCATGGGGAGGTCCTGTCAGCTGTGGGTTTGTTACTGACTCTCACTGTGGGAGCTGGTGGCTCTGCAGTTGCACAGTGGTGTTGCAAGCGATGTTATCGAAGGCTGGGCCATGGCAGGCCCTTTCCCTGCTTGTCCCGATGGAATTCCACGCTGGGTGGTGGATGGATGGATGGGTGGGTGATGCAATTTCTGCCCTGGGAGGTTTTGAGAGTCTTCTGGTCTGACTGGATTGCTAGGCTTGTGCAGGCTGGTTACTGTGAGCTGGGCTCTTGATTCAGGAGTGCTGCAAATGCAGATTAGCTGACCAGGAGGCACAGGTCCTGGGAGCTCTCAAGGTCATAAGGATGGCTGGTAAGGCTGGCCTGGGGGCTAGGTGGAGAAGAGAGCAGGCCAAACACTGGAGCTAGCCTCAGCAGACCTGGGCAGGCATTCCATGTTGAGGAGCTGAGGTCTAGGAAGGGTCATGCTAATTACTTCAATCAGTCTGCTCCCTCATGTGTGTGGATCATCAGGTCCCGGTCCACAAGCAGTAACGCTTGCTTTGAAGGCCGTGAGCCGTTGCACTAGTCTGCAGTCACCGGTACAACTGACCACAGTTCACTCTCATCCTCTGCTGCTCTGGAGACCCAGGACCAGCCCTGATCACCTGGGGCTAGAGACTGGCATCCAGGTGCCCAGCCTACCTGCTCAGAGCCGGCATGGTGAGAGAGCGAGTCCCTAGCACCAGTGGTAGCTGATGTATAAGGTAGGCTCTGGTGTTGGCCAGGATGGGGTGTATCTGTCCCCCATACCACCACTTTCCTCAACTTCTAGTTAGATTGTGGTGGGACAGAAATTGTTGGCTTCTCTGGGTGTTGCTTGGTCCCATGGTGTCTTTAAAGAACAGACAATCAATTGTCATTACTACCCTCTGTTCTGCAGAGTGAGGTGCAGCTGGAGTAGGAGCTGAGGGTAGCGGAGTGAGGGCGAGTTTCCCCCCTTGTGTGTGGCTGTTACACTGGAGGGACTGGGCTGAGACTGGAGCTGGGGGGGACATGCTTTGGCTGTTCCATGTGAACAGCTTGGCTCTGTGTCCTGAATTTTACCTGACCAGGTCTTGAACAAGAGTAAAATATTCCTAGGTTGAAAGCAATAAGGAATGGTGTAGATCCCCTTCAGAGGGTGCCCTAGATGTCTAGGGACCTTGTAGTGTAAGGGTTTGAGAAGAAGCTTAAAGGCAGCAAGAGTTAAGCTTTATGTAGGCTTTATGCTCGCTCATCAGGCAGAGGCAGCATGCTGTGCGTATCGCTACAGTTTGTGATGATTAGCTCTGCTAGACTGAAAGCTGTCATATAAGGATTTTTCACTGCCTGGTATTCCCCCACATGCAGGGATTGGAGTTGTCAGACCAGGAGGACCCTGCCTGTGTGGATGGGCAGAGGTAGATGCTGAATTGGTTCTCTGCAGCAGCTGGTTGTGGCTGCCAGGCTGCATGGCAGGGCAGTGGCTGTCCAGCACAGAGAGGTGACCTGTGCTGGGAGAGGATCAACCTGTTTCTCCCTTTCCCTGCAGTTGCTGATGGGCATGTGTGCTTGGTACCAGGCTTGGGGATAAGTGTGGCTGCTAGAGCCCTGTGAGGCTCTGAGGACAGGGACTGGGTGTGAGGTGAAGGCTGTCACATGCAGTGGCAGCTTGTGCCCTGCTCATTTAGTTCTGGGGCAGCTGTAAAATAGGCACCTGTGCTCCAGAGCTTTCTCTGTCCTGTAGCCAAAGCAGATACTGCCTTCGGTCATTGTCTAGACGTGGTGGGTTGTTAGTGTGGCACAAAGACATGTCCTTGGAGGAGTGTCCTCCAGGTCAGGTATGAGATGCTGTCATTCTTAGTTCTTATGGTATCCCTGTCCTACTGTTAAAACCCCATCAATCCCACTGCTGCATGGTGTGGCTCACTCTGGAAGGTGCTTCTGGTTCAGCTGTGGTAAGACTAGGTCTTTCTGCAAAGTGCTCCACTGGCTTAAAGCACATCCCAAGTCTCTCTCCTTACCTGGGTACAGCCCAGCCTGCAGGCTCCTCTTCTGGTGTTCTCCTCTTCTTTTCTTTGCCTTTGCAAGCCCTTGGCAGCACTTTCATTTCTGCCTGCACTGGGTTTCCTCTGTGATCTTCCTGAGCTGAAATGCAAGTTAGAGTAAGACAAACCTTTGTTCTCCGCACCTTCATCTGTGTAATAGCCTAGATTTGATCCTCAGGGGCACGCACTATGGAGACAGCTTATTTGATGTGCTCATCTTGGTACTCTACTAACCTTCCCTTTCTCTCTTTTTCTCTCTTCTTGTTTCCCCTAATCCTGTTGCTGCTGCAGAGCGCCTGTACAGCCAGCTTGAGAAAAACCGCCTGCTCTCTAACGAGCTGAAGTTAACGCTGCATGATCTGTGTGACTGAGAAGGGGGCCCACTAATACCATTAAACAAGCTTATTGCGACCACCAGTGCTGTGGACCACAGTGAAATCTGATCATTCTTAAGACTGGCAGACTTGCAAATTTTGTGCAATTGCTGCTACTTAATGGGGCACTTGAATTTATCCTCTAATTTATTTATTTAAGAGCGTTTTGGTTTGTTTTTTTTTTTTTTTTACCAAGGTAATATCTCTTCTTGGTGAAGTAACCCTCAGACTTGGCTGGTTTTTGAACAGTCTTGTTCACTTGTCCAGGGGGTCCTGCCTGGCTCCTCCATGGAACCAGAATGGCTGCACCCACCAGGAGAGGGGTGGCGTGAAGTTAGGCTTATGTCTGCTAAAAGGTGCCTGTCAAGGGCTACAACTTAATTTACTGTTAGCTGAATGACTGTAGGATTTCCTGCTGCATGGAATGATGGCTTCTACCAATAAATGAATGACCTTGTGGTCTGTAAGACACTGCACACCTGTAGTACTTTCCTATATAGTTGAGTTCTAACCTAGAAGGTTTGGGGGAAGCAGTCATTCCTGGGGTCTCACCCCAGTGCAGCTGCAGAGCCCCGGAATGTGTTGGGAAGGCTCATGGATGTCTTGAAAGCAAGTCCCAAAATCCACAGCATGAAGCTGTGTCTTGAGTGCCTGCAGGGAATCTGAACGCTGCTGTTTCTAGTGCTCTAGGAAGGCTGCTTCTTGCTCTGTGCACAGTTTCTGACCCTGGGGAGGTTGGGGAGAAGCTTTGAGAAACTGCCTGTACCTAAAGGACATCTTTCTACAGCCTGTCTGTCCAGTGTCCCAGCGTGTGGATCTCTTCAGTGATAAGGGTGGGCTCACCTTTGGAGTAAAGCCTACCTAGAGCGCTAGTTGCTGATCTGAGCTCTCCTCCTGGCTTAAGGAACATGTGAGAATTGACTGTGCAGCTGCCTGTAGTCTCGGGCGGAGTTGCAGCACCCTTGCTCCTACTTGCTCCCTGCCTGCCCTTCACTGAAAACAGCCTCTTCCCCACTGTCCTTGAGGCATGGTTGTCTGCTCCCTGCTGCTAGGTAGTTACGGTCTTGGTGACCAGCTTGGCATCTCTGTCCTGTGCCGGGGGGAAGGGGGACACAACCAGCTGTAATTCTAGGGGGTGATTTCTAAGAGTGTTTTACCTCTGCGTTGCTGTTGGGTGCCTTGCTGGGCCATGGGGGTCTGCTGTCTGGAAGTGAAGCTCTGGGGAAAGCTAGCTGCAGTCGGAGGCACCTGCATGCAAAACACTGCCTAGAGCACTGGCTAAAGGTACGTTGTGACCATGCCGACTGGGAGCACCGGCAATGCGAGAGGCGAGGGCTACAAACGAGCCAGGTAACTTCAGAGCTTTGAGCTGCACCCAGCCAGGCACCCTGGTCTGAGGACTTGCTGCGGCAGTGTGCTGGGAAGGGGCTAGCGCAAGCTTTCTTTGGCGAAGGTTTCCTGGTTGTCTGAAGCTCTCTTGTAACTCTTGACTCTTGCTTCCTGCCAGATAAACTGAAATCCACCAAAGAGGAGCATCTCTGCACGCAAAGAATGCTGGACCAGACTCTGCTAGACCTGAATGAGATGTAATGGATCCCTGCCACTGCCTCCGCCACACGATGCCAGGGGGGCCAGCCCAGCCGCTGCTGACCTCTAACCCTTGGGGACCAGAGTTTACTTTTCTGTTGCCAACTTGACCAAACGCAAATCTTCTCCTTCGCCTCAGGGTTAAAGGCCATCAGGTTGGGCAGAGCTTCAAACAGCATTATTAAGGGAAATAAACAATGCAATAATGTTTGGGGAGCATGTTTGAGATGTATACATTTTGTAACTACCTTTTTTTGTAGCAACCATTGTAAACATTCCAAATAACCCGTGGGGCTGGTGAGCTATACTTCAAAGCTCTTGGCTTTAAAATTTGGTATTAACTTTCTGTTAATCAGCTCTGGGCCACCCTGCTTTGGCAGGGGAGGAAAGAGGGTGTGATGGTTCTGGCTGTGGGCCACTGAATCGGAGTAGCTAGGCTAGGGATGGAAGCCTGTTGGGAAAACTTGCTTTCCAGGAGCTGTTTGCCAAAAAAGCAGTTCAATTTCTCAGCTTTAAGGCAACTCTGTGTTGTGGAATGGCAACTCGGGTAAAAGGAGACTTTCTCTTTTTTGAGCCAAGCCTGTTATCTGAATAATTGAACCTTCACAGGGGTTATTTCCCTTCCCACTGTTGGCCACTTCCTTTCCTGGTAGGCTTAGAGAAGCCATGGCCCCTCTAACCCATTGCTACACAGGGGTTGAATTTGCCTTCACCAAGTGATGATGCACCAAGCTTTATCGCTCATTGCTGGGTTACACTTAACAGCTTCAGTACAACAGCCTTGTTTTCTTGGAGAAGTTTTTTTGCCTACCCTGAGGGAGGGAACTGAGGTCTTCCCACCTGGCCAGGAGTGCTCTTAGTGTCTTAATAAGGTACAAGCCATCTTGCTGTGCATTGCTGATGTGTAGTCGTGAGGCATGAGTGTGCAGATGTGTCAAGCTCGCGGCGTGTAGCTTGTGGTTTGAGCATGCTGCTTGGTCGTAGCAGTCTTCGGGGCCAATCTGGAGAAAAGAACCCTATCAAGTGTTTTGATACTAAATTGAGAAATTGTCTTACTGTCTTTTGAAATAAAAACCGATCCCTCCACGCTGCTGTCTGGCTGCCGAGGTTTGTTGTGTGTGTGGGGGGGGGGGGGGGGGTGTCTGCTCTCCTCCTCCCACTCCCGGGGCTCCCGGCTCTCCTCCCTCTCCTGTCCTTGGGGCTCCCTGCTCTCCTCCTCCTCCCACTGTTGGGGCTCTTCGCTCTCCTCTTCCTCCTTCTCCCACTCTTGGGGCTCCCCGCTCTCCTCTTCCGCCTGCTCTTGGGCTCTCTGCTTTTCCTCCTCCTCCCGTTGTTGGGGTTCCCCGCTCTCCTGCTCCTCCCGTTGTGGGCTGCCCAGTCTCCTCCTGCTCTTGGGGCTTCCCACTCTCCTCTTCCTCCTCTTCCAGCTCTTGGGCGCTCTGCTCTCCTCCTGCTCTTGCGGATCCCAGCTCTCCTTTTCCTCCTCCCACTCTTGGGCTCTCTGCTCTCTTCCTCCTGCTCTTGGGGCTCCCCGCTCTCCTTTTCCTCCTGTTCCTGGGCTGCCCACTCTCCTCTTCCTCCTGTTTTTGGGACTCCCCACTCTCCTCCTCCTCTCCTGGTCTCCCCGCTCTTGGGGCTTCACGCTTTCCTCCTCCTCCCATTCTTGGGGCTCCCTGCTCTCCTCCCGTTCCTGGGCCACTCGTTCTCCTTTTCCTCCTGCTTTTGGGGCTCCCTGCTCTCCTCCTCTTCCCGTTCTTGGAGCTCTCCTCCTCCTGTTTTTGGGGCTCCCTGCTCTCCTCCTCCTACTTTTGGGGCTGCTCGTTTTCACCTTTAAGCTAAACGTGCCCAGGGCGTTGCTGCCCTTCAGCGGGAGCTCCGGCATCCCGGTGAGCTCATGGCTGAGCCGGCAGTGGTGTGGGGAAACAAGGGGCCATTGCTCCTGGTGAAAAAGGGAGTGGTGGTGAGGGGAGAAAAAAGGTTACCGAGAGTGTTGAGGAGGTGGGAACCCCCTGGTAGAGAAAAGGGCCTGAGGGGAGGGTGTATGGAGGAGGGGTCGGTGGCTTGTTTTCCTGGGCTAGGGAAAGGTTTGGAGAGCTCAAGGGGTTGTCCTGAAAAAAAAAAAAAAAAAAAAAGGGGCAAAACCCTGAGCTCAGGATCTTCCTGTGGGGCTGTGGGCATGGCTGTGTGTGTGCTTGCAGGACAGAAAGCTCTTGCCTCGTTCAGTAGCAGCACAGCCCAAGGGGCCTCTGCGATCTGGCGGGGAGCGGGTGGCCTGCTTGTGCTTAGCTGTGGGGCGCCAGTTTGCGTAGCGGGAGCAGGGCTGGTTTGTTTTCCGGGCTCCTATTGTTGGCCAGTATCAACATCAAAACCTGGAGCAGAGGGATCGTCAGCTGTTGGCCGATGCACTTTTGGAACTCGATAGGTGAGCTGTAGTGAGCGAGCTCTACCCAGCACTGAGAAGGACGCATCGAAGCAGGTTATTACAAGAATAAATACTAAAAGAGGGAGTGATTTAATGACAACATAAACCTGCACTTATTTAAGCGCTCTGCCTCTTTTTGGTTTTAAGCTCATTTAAAGATACACCTGTGAGTGGAGGTGGGGAAAAACATCTTCCCGTCTTTCAGGCCTCCCTCACATTACAATATAGTCACTGTTGAGCCTGTTTATGAGAACAGTGCCATTTGTTCCCACAAAGTTTTGGTGTCTGCTCAGTCTTCACAAGCCAGAAAGCTAAGCAGTGTCATGAGGGCTGACTAACACAGCAGGTAGAAAAGTGAAAATTCATAGAGCAGAGGATTGCACACATAGATGTAATTTTTTTAGAAGAATGATTTAACTGTTCTGATGAAAAACCTGTGATTTATCATACCATATTATTCAGGCTCTGTAGGATGGCAAGCCACCTATTTGTTCTTTATTATTTTCACTAGTACTAGCTTTTTGTGAGTTTTGAAGCCAGTATGATCTTGTAGATGCTGAATTAAAGATTATTTGTTTTCTTGTAGTGACAGGCCATTTACTCCGTTGTGATGTGATTGTTGATATGATAGACAGGATTGAAATTATCTCCCAAACTTGAGAAAGTGTGGTCGATTCTACCCTAGAGTTGGCTGAGAGTGCTCTGGACATCGAAGGTAGTACTTGTGAGAAGCTCTGCTGCTATAATTCCAAAGTTGTAATTCTTCCTCCTGAGAGAGAAATGCTTCTTGTCTTCCTATTTAAAGGGAAAGGAGGTTTGGATTTACAATGTCAGCTAGGAAGAATCTATGAGTTTTAGTCTCTGTGTGAATTCTCCTTTCTGTAGATGATTATCGGATTCCTGTAATTTGTGAAAGTCACCTTTTTGCAGAATTAGAACTTTCCCTTGAACTTCATGAGCTTGAGCTTCACGACCAAGTTATTGTGCCTGGTAGGTCTGACCTACCAGTGGCCTGGAGGTGAAGACAGTCACTGTGAGAGCAGTGCAGGTGGGACGGAGCAATCTGGTCTTGGTTCATGAGAGTATCCTTCTAAATAGAGTCCCAGCTAGATCTTGTGTCCCGATATTTGGCTGTCCTCTTTCCCAAGTATGACCAACCTGGTCTGTAGTAAAAGAGACTGTGAAGGGAAATAGGAAATGTTGGGATCTGAATCTGAGTTTCTCTGAATGCTTTAACTTCTCAGAGTAGTTACTGGGACTCTCTGAGGACATCTGCATTCTTTTTTAATAAAATGAAAATCTTGAAAGGATTCCTATAAAAGAACAAAGATTTTCATATGCGAGCTGCATCTGTTCTTCCTAATTGCACTATCTGTGTTGTAGAAGATGGATTTTGGGGTAATAAGAAAATGAAAGCTTGATTGTAAAACTCACACTTTTTTTTTTTTTTTGATGAGGATCATACTTCTTTAAAATATAATTGCATCCATTATGTTGGCAGTGAGCATCTAAATCTTAAGGCAAAAGCAGACTGCCTCTTTTCAAGTGCACTGATTTGAAAATTGAAGTTGTCTTTTCTCTGTTTGATGGGCCGCTCTCTAAATCAGAGTAATTAACTAAACTAAAGATTAACAACAGAGAATGGGCCTCAGAGCTTGGAAAGCATGTGTCATGGTTGCCCTTGTGCCACTTTTGTGCTGCTTGCTGAACTATTTTTGTTGGAGTGTTTGGAAGCAAGAATTAGTTTTTACATGATACTGGATACTTTGGAGGATGAATAATGAGAGCCTTTCTGCTTCAGTCACTAATTCCTACCCAGAAAAAGTTTTGCAGTGACCATAAGCACGGGCTGCCTCATGGCTGTCCTCTGTTCTGCACTGAAATCTGTTTATTGGCAGCAGAAAGATGCCTCTGGAACGGAAATTACCACCACTGGCACTCTCACTGCTCTAGGACAAAATGTAATGTGAACCTCAGGTTTCCAAGCCAATTTAGGAGCACTTTTGTTATTAATCTGCACATTAATAACTTTTGATAATAGAGTTGCATTTCTTAAAACTGCGTTACCACCATTAGTTGCTGTTGATGATTCTCAGGAGCAAACCGTATGTTTTATTGCATGTTTCACCGTAACCAGGAGACAGGTGGATACTGGAAGTGAAGTGAGAGTATGTGATCACTGTAGAAGTTTATGACACAGACAGCACTAAAGTGTATTTATCTGATGTGAATATGTGTTTAGTTAACAAGGAGCAGCTGCCAAAGGGAGTGCCATGATGAATTGTGTTAGAGATATTTAGCACTAATAAGGCAATGAGAGAGAGAAGGAGATTAACCCTTACTGTGTTATCTCAGTCTCTCCCTCAGTCTCTCTATTGCACACATTTTTAGTCACATTTCATCCATTCTGATCTTCTTACTATGTTACAAATCTCTACAGAAATCCATGATTCTGTGTTTGTGGAATGAGCATTGGGTTTTCCTTGTAAGGGGGCACAACTTTTACTGATCTCTATAAATTTGCAGAACTTGAGAATAACTTGACATTTTTCTAAAGAGTATTTTGAAGAGCTCCTGTCTTCTCATAATGTGTCTTACCATATTGTTCAGGCCCTGAAAGATGGCATCACAGGGATAAAGGCTGAACAGACCCTCACCTTCCCTTGGCAGCCCTTCCAGAGCCCTACCAACACCAGGACTCTGCAATTTTTCTAACACCTTACACTCGACCGCATGTGAACTTCATGACGTTCAACAAGGTGCAAGAACCTGCACTTGGGTTGGGGCAACCCCCACTATTAATACAGGCTGGGGGATGAAGGGGTGGAGAGCAGCCCCAAGGAGAGGGAATTGGGGGTGTTGGTGGGGGGAAAACTGCCCGTGAGGCAGCCCCGTGCGCTCGCAGCCCAGAACCCCCCCGTGCCCTGGGCTGCAGCCAGAGCAGGGGGGGCAGCAGGGCCAGGGAGGGGATTCTCCCCCTCTGCTCTGCTCTGGGGAGACCCCCCTGCAGTGCTGGGGCCAGCTCGGGGGCCCCCAACATCACAAGGACACGGAGCTGCTCGAGCGGGGCCAGAGGAGGCCACGGAGATGCTGGGGGGGCTGGAGCAGCTCCCCTGGGGGGCCGGGCTGAGAGAGTTGGGGGGTTCAGCCTGGAGAAGAGAAGGCTCCGGGGAGCCCTTCGAGCGGCCTCCCAGGGCTTAAAGGGGGGACAGGAAAGGTGGGGAGGGACTCTGGATCAGGGGGTGGGGGTAGGACGAGGGGTGATGGTTTTACACTAAAATAGGGAAACTTTAGATTAGATATTGGGAAGAAATCCTTCCCTGTGCGGGGGGTGAGGCGCTGGCCCAGGGTGCCCAGAGCAGCTGTGGCTGCCCCCTCCCTGGAAGGGTTCAAGGGCAGGTTGGATGGGGCTGGGAGCCCCCTGGGCTGGGGGAAGGGGCCCTGCCCGGGGGGGGGGGGGGTTGGAACTAGATGATCTTTAAGGTCCCTCCCAACCCAAACAACTCTATGATTCTATGAAAATGGGTCACCTACTGCTATCTAGTGTTGGGGGAATATTAAACCCATTAATTAGTTCTCAGCATTTTTTTTGCAACAGTTGTTTCATCTGTGTGTTTACAAGGACAGGCCTCCATCCTGAGAACATATCAAAAATGACAAGGACATACTCAAAACTACTGCATTTAGGCATTTGAATAAATTAAATTTGCAAATTTACAAATTGTCCCCATGGTTTAGGGTGCGCAGCTATGCTTGTCTTCTCCTTCTGTCTTCCATTATTTTCTTGAAAAGTTGTCCTAACAATATGAAGATTCAAGAATTTAAGCAGTACTTTGTTAGCAAGCTTCAGTCATTTACACCTTAATTTCTGGCAAAATGAAAGCCCCTTCCTGATTGTTCAAGCTATAGAATTAATTGATTAAATAAAAATGGGTATGAATTATACAAAAACTAAATTCATGTGGACTATTAAAAAAAAAAAAGATATTTAAACTTCTTTAACCTTCCTTTTTCATTATTATCTGTATCTTCAGATATACCAACATTTTAATGATGTAGCCATTAGCTCAGTGACTTCATTAAAGCATTCCATTGCTCTCATTCCCTTCCAAAAGAATGTCAAGAATAGACAAACAACTGAAAATATGCACATACGAAAAATTTGGGGCAAACCAACCGTGTCATATAGCTTCAATCACCCCCCCTTGGCTGGCGGTGGCCACTGAACGGGTCCCACGAGCACCAGCACGTTGATCCGTTGTTCCTCCCAAAGCCGGGAGCTGTAAATCACTCTGGCCAGGCTCCTGGCAGGGTATTTCCTGCCCCCCTGGGCTGCTGTAGTGCAATCAGTGTGATGTGATCAAGGGAATTATAGCTTGAAACCAGGAGAGAAGTTTTTTTTCAAGCAAGAGGGGAGTTGCCCTCTCCTTTAGTAGCTTCTGAGGAATATATCTTGGGGAGAAATCCCTGGGCATGTGAAAGAAGTTAGAGCATCTGCACCTTCTTCATCCTTAAAATCCTAATCGCAATCAGTGCTGGCTGAGTCGTTAGTTTAGCTCATATTCAGTACGAATTGAAACTTTTAAAGCAAAGCTCCTGCTGCTTTGGTGGATGAGCCTGGTGTCCCTGGCTCTCTGGCGGGGCCGTTCTCTTTTGGAGCTGGGCTCTGTCAAGAGTGAGAGCAAGTCAGGGATGTCATTAGGTGGTAGAGCAAGTGGAATGTAAGTCGGGCTATGAAGGGGCTGCCAAGAGAAGGTGAGAGCCAGTGACAGCTTTCTGTCCTGGCCACGTCGGTGTGAGAGCCTTCTTTGGCCATTTTCTCTTTCCAGCCTGGAATTTGGCCATTTTCTCTTTCAGACCTGGACTTTGGCCAGTGAGGCAGCAGGGAAATGAGACCCTTAGGAGACAGCACAAGCGCCGAGCCCCCGCGTTGGTGAGGCTGCACAGGGGTTGCCAAGGAAGGGTGAGGGCCAGCAAGAGCTTTCCTCCCGGCGCCTTCCGTGCGGGAGCCTTCACTGGATGTTTTCTCTTAAGGTTATGCAGGGAGAAAATGAGAGGGGCCAAAGCCGAACTAGAACTTAATCCGGCTACTGCCATAAAAGACAATAAAAAATGTTTCTATAAATATATTAACAACAAAAGGAGCGCTAAGGAGAATCTCCATCCTTTATTGGATGTGGGGGAAAATATAGTGATGAAGGCTGAGGAGAAGGCTGAGGTACTTAATGCCTTCTTTGCCTCAGTCTGTAATGCTAAAACCAGTTGTTCTCGGGGTACCCAGCCCCCTGAGCTGGAGGCAGGGACGGGGAGCAGAATGGAGCCCCCACAATCCGAGGGGAAATGGTCAGCGAGCTGCTACACCCCTTAAACACACACAGGTCTACGGGGCGGATGGGATCCAGCCAGGGGTGCTGAGGGAGCCACTTCCCATCATTTCTCAGCAATCCGGGCTCACTGGGGGGGTCCCGGGTGTCTGTACGAGACAACCAGGCGATCAGGCAGCACGGGTTTATGAAAGGCAGGACCTGCCTGACAAACCTGGTGTCACCTTCCGTGACAAGGTGACCCGGTTACCGGATGAGGGAAAGGCTGTGCAGGTTGTCTACCTGGACTTTAGCAAAGCCTTTGACTCCATTTCCCACAGCATTCTCCTGGAGAAACTGGCTGCTCCTGGCTTGGGCAGTTCTGTTTAACTGGGCCCAGTTCTGTTTAATATTTTTATTGAGCTGGACAAGGGGATCGAGTGCACCCTCAGTAAGTTTGCAGGTGACACCAAGTCGGGCGGGAGCGTTGATGTGCTGGAGGGTAGGGAGGCTCTGCAGAGGGGTCTGGACAGGCTGGAGCGATGGGCCAAGGCCAGTTGTACGAGGTTCAGAGAGGCTGGGTACCGGGTCCTGCACCTGGGTCACAACACCCCCCTGGAATGTGACAGGCTGGGGGCGGAGGGGCTGGAAAGTGGTGGAAAAAGACCTGGGGGTGTTGGTCGACAGCCGGCTGAATATGGGCCAGCAGTGTGCCCAGGTGGCCAAGAAGGCCAATGGCATCTTGACTTGTGTCAGGAATAGTGTGGCCAGGACTAGGGAAAGGATTGTTCCCCTGTACTCAGCACTGGTGGGGCCGCACCTCAAATATTGGGTTCAGTTTTGGGCCCCTCACTACAAGAAAGACATTGAGATGCTGGAGCATGTCCAGAGAAAGGTAACGAAGCTGGTGAAGGGTCCAGAGAACAACCATTGAGTGGTTTGGGTTGAAAGGGACCTTAAAGCCCCCCCAGTCCTAACCCCCCTGCCCCGGGCAGGGCCCCCTTCCCACAGCCCAGGGGGCTCCCAGCCCCGTCCAACCTGGCCTTGAACCCTTCCAGGGAGGGGGCACCCACAGCTGCTCTGGGCACGCTGGGCCAGCGCCTCACCCCCCGCACAGGGAACAATTTCTGCCTTAGATCTTGTCTAAATCTGCCCTCTGTCAGTTTAAACCCGTCACCCCTCGTCCTACCCCCACACCCCTGATCCAGAGTCCCTCCCCACCTTTCCTGTCCCCCCTTTAAGCGTCTGCCAGTTTGCATGAACATTCCTCCCCTGGCTAGGAATATCAGAATCACAAAGGGCTGTTGTAAACATATCTGCTGTAATGGAAAAGATGGATAATTCTATTTCAGCCTTACAGTTAGAAGTACAACAAGCATCTCGGGTAGCCCTGCAAAACAGCGTAGCACCAAATCGTGCACTCATCACTCAAGAAAGTTACCTGCATACACCACTTGTGTGCAGATCAGACATGGACACGCATAAAATTGGGAGCTGAACTTCAAATACTGCATGAAATACTGGAAAAAAAAAAAAAAAAAACAAACAACCCACAACTTTTAAAACTGTTGTGGACGGCTACCAGACATGAAAGAATGGTTAGGGAAAATACTGTAGAAAGCAGCAGGGCCCTGCCAGCGCACGGGCAAACCCTGGGGCCTGTTTCTCTCTGGTTACACTGGGGCCTTCACTGGGTTTTGCCAGGGCCCTGCTGCCCTCCAGAATTTCCTTGGGTCTTCACAGAGCTTTGCCAATGCCCGGGCGGTTCCTGCTGCACTCTCGAGCGCCCTGGGGCCTCCAGCAGGTGAAGCAGAGGGTGCAACCAGCGGCAGCCAAGGTTGGGGTGAGGAATCCTGGCCTGGAAACGTTCTGGTAACAAAGAGCGTGTTCACTCCAGCACAGCCCAGGATTTCCCATGCTGTCCGGTGTCCAACAACTGGCCAGAGCAGGTCCAACCACCTCTCAGCACTTGCAGGTCCTCACTGTGCCACCACCTCCCCCCCTGGGAGAAGCACAAATCGATGCCCAACACGCAGCCACAGCAGCATCTATTTATGGCTGTGAAAAGAAATCTTATACTAGTGCTTAGAGCCTGCAGGGAAGGTGGTGCAAGGTACCAGGTCTTCTGGGCCCTTCTTTCCCTCTTCTGTTTATTTTACCCATAGTGATTTATTTTGCTGTCTGTATGCCCGTTAGCTGCTTCTGAAGGCAGCCAGGTGCCTCCAGGACTTCCTGGTAAAAAGAAAAGCAGGCTTCTTTCACGGTGTTCATTTTATTACAAAAGCCTCAGTACCTCAACACACCTCAAAACCCTTAACAGAGCAATCAGAAAGAACAGAAACACAGCGATTTAACTGCTCGCCAAAATACAGCGGGGCTTCCTAGAGGACAAGCATCGACGGGGACCTCCCGTGCCCCACCTCGCAAAGCAGCAGCTCTACCACACCTCTGGTTCTGCCACCGGACAGAGCTCCTTCCCACAGCTGTTTCAGTAAGGCAGCACTCGGAGGAGGGGGGGACGGGAGATTTAAGACATTTGAGGAGACTGCGGCAGGCAAAGCGCCACTTGGCTGAACGGAGTCTGGAAGGCAGCACAGAAACACCGCGGAGCTGCACCGCCCCGAACAAGCTCCGCCGCGCGTTAACACATTCGTATCACCCATGCACCGGAGCGAGGGGCCCCTGCTCCGAATATGCAAACAAAGGGGTTTGGGATTTTCAGTTGGTTTTTTTTCCTGTTTGCTCATTTCTTTTTTAAAAGGTAGAGGGCAACACATCACTGCCAGTGAAGCGATTGATTCCCTCTTGCTGACAGGGCTGAGGCAGAGCCCAGGCAGCGCTCTGCTGATCCCAACACCCCTGGCAGTTCTGGGGCGTGTGTTGTTCTTTCCTGAGCTCTGGGGTGCTGGTGGCATTTGACTTTGTTCAGTTCTTTTTGGTCTTGGGGGTGTCATACTTTCTCTTGCTCGAGTACCACAGCAGCAGCGGGATCCCGATGGAGGGGAGGGTCATCACACCAAAAGCTGCCCAGTCCAGCTAGAAGGAGAAATTGTTAGAAAAAAGTCAAACTAAATCATGTACAGTGAGTCTTATAGGCATGAGATTTGTTCTGAAAGCTTCTGGCTCAAACCCCACAGTGCCACCTCCTTCACAGAGGCAGCTGGGATGAAAACTCCTTGCTTTTTTCGTCATACTCTTCTGGACAACCGATATGGATTAATTGCAATCCATGTCGGGAGGTTTTCCAGGTGACTGCAGCGCAAACCAAAGACACCACAAACTGGCAAAAAGCCACCGTGCTGGGCTTGCACAGTTGCTGCAGTGCAATTTCAATTATCAAGTGAAAGGTACTTACAAAGTGAGGGGAGAACCTCCTGTCAAACTCGCGCTGAGCCAAGATTCCTCCCTGCCCAGGAGCACTAGTGAAACCAATCTGAAAAAGGCGGGGGGACAAAGACAGTATTTGTCACCTTTCCTTCTTGCAACAGAGCCCGTGCAGCGTCGCAGTGCAGGGACATGCATCTCCCCTGACAAGCAGCAAGGAGAGCACAGGCAGGTGTATCTGCTGCCCGATTTGGGAAGGATCCTGTAAATAGCTGACTCACCACAACCTGTCCGCCCTCCTGTGCCAGGTACGTGATGGTAGCAGAGGTGAAGTTGAAGTAACCAGCTTTGAGAGGCCGCAGAACCACAGTGTGGGACACGTTACTCGCTCTGTGAGCCGTAAGTTAAGGAAAAGAGTTGCATTTCATCAAAGGAAGAAAAGTGAGGAGACAGGTAAAGAAGAACCTCGAACCAGGTGGAAAAGTCAGTCCTGGTGACCGCTCTGAGTCCTCTGTGGTTACAGGCCCATCCAAGGCTGATCCAGCTGCTCCTCCCTCCCAGGCAGACGAACTGCACAGGGACCTGGCCCCGTTTGCAAGGAACTCTTTTCTTTTAACACAGCACCTTCAAGGAGAACAGAGATTTTCATTTAACACCCTGCCCAGGGTCTGGCATTCAGTGATCACGAAGGCAGACAGGAGAGCTACAGGGTGCTTAGGGGTAGAAAGGACTGCTGGGAAGAATTTCAGAACGTGAAAAGATACGGAGCGATCCTGTCCCACTTGACGTTGAGCATCCCAGAGACAATGCCAAAATCTTCTGGGGGGAAGGAATCATCCGACAGCTCCACATCTAAGGCAGCACTAAATGCAACAAAGGAAGGGATGAGAAGAGAACCTTAGACTTGGCATTCTAGTCACAGGGTACTGCCCCAAAGAAGGATGACAGTTCCACACAGACAATTCAGCAGCTGGAAAAACTGATTCTTGAAACATGAAAAGTCACCAATAGAAGATGGGGAGGAGAGAGAAGGTGGATTACAAGGAGACTTCAGAAAGAGAAAGGCAAAACTGAGAGAAACCAAAGAAAACAGGAAATCAGATGTGAAAAAGAGCTCACAAAGCCAAGAAAGTCTGCATACATGGGGAGCACAGTGTCACAAGACACAGAAGTAATTAAATGATGCTGGACCAACATCTAGAGCAGCCACGAGGTGAAAGCACAGACACCAGAACAGGAAGAAAAAGGAAAATTGCAGGGACAAACCTTCAAGCACTGTTGATAAGCTCAGAATTAGATGGAGTAAAAGTAAGAGCATTTATTAGAAATTAGAAAAGTAAGAGCACATCATGGAACACAGAAGTAGTCTCAAACCTGCAGACACACACATACTTAACATTTGCTCCTGGTCAGTATTAGAAGTCTAGACAAAGGTTACCTGGAGCCAACATTGTAGATGTTGTACTGCAAAGTCAAGTCCTTGCCCTCCACTGCATATCTGTTTAATAAAGATTTGGAGGCCAGGAGCCTGGCGCCTTCCTCACAGTGGGCAACATAAACCAGGGCAAACACAGCGAGAATCAGGAGCTTCATCTAGAGGCAAAACAAAAGGGAGTGTCATTGATAGCGTAATTGCAAAAAGAACACAAACTGAACAACTAAACAAGACAATTCGGGCATTTTTGTGTAGTGAGACATGAACGACTGTATACTTCACAACAATATTGAGAAAGGATTATCACAAGCTGGCAGAAAATTACCCGCCACACGACTGCAACAACCCCCGAGATATCTGTACACTTTTCTGCAAGCATGTAAGAAGTAGCACAGCAGTGTCCCAGATCAGCAGGCATAGGAGAAAAGACAAAGGTTTTGCCCTTTGTCAAAGCCCCAGTAACAACCACTCCCCTTTATCACATCTCAGTGACCTGCAGAGGTCTCAGATCCCAAAGCCTCTTCGAGTAACTTTCAGAGCAAAAGCTTTGGCAGTTAAAGGTTTCACCAGTTTTAGCAATTAACAGCTAATTGCCATTGGAAAGCATGGCAGCTCTCCAGCACTTTTACACAACCGAGTTAGTTCTTCACCCCATCAAATTCTCTGTTCTTCTCAGAGAACACTAGCTCCTCGATTTCCAACATTTATTACTCTTCCCTGCTTGCAGCCGCTTTCCTATTTCCAACCACCAACTCCCTCCAGCGGCCTTCTGGTCCCCAGAAACCCCCGGTTCAGGCCACGTCTCCCAGTTCCCCCAAGCCCAGCATCCCAGGAGCTGCCCTGCTGAGCGGACACGGAGACCGCAGGGTCACGACATACACAACCCCTGAGGAAACCTGGGATGCTCCCACGCAGCCCACAGACCCACAAACTCGGAGATGTCGCTCCGTGTAAAACACTGAACCGCCCGGTCCCACCGACCGCTGCCTGCCGGGGAGCCAGGACGCAGACACAGAACAGCCGGTCCCTCAAAACCCACCCCCCAGAAACCCGGGGACACGCCACCAAGCTCCCTCCTGCACGGCCCACTACCCACGGAGCCCACGGGCCCTCACCTCGCCGAAGGCCGAGTCAGCGCAGAGGCAGCGGAAGTACAGCACACCGGAAATGACCCCTTGCGGCGCCCCGCGGCCCGCTGGGAAATGTAGTCTCAGCCCGCGGAGGGGGATGCGGGCAACACGACTCCGCGCCTGCGCAGAGTGCGCCGTCCGCTCTGGAGGACGAGGGGCGGCGGGGGGAGGAAGTTGAACTACCTCCCCAAGAGCCTGCAAACACCAGTTTCAGCCCAAAAACACTACTTGTAAACTCTCCGGGGTTGTTGTAAAAGGATAAAAAGAGCCAAAATTTAGCAAAAGACAAAAAGGCAATGTTTCTCAGACGATCTGTGCCTCAGAATCTGTTTTGTAACCAGGATCACTACATAAACAAATTTATGGTTGCTTAGTTCTAGCACAGAGCTTTGTATTGTTAAAGTTTGTGATCAACAAAATAGCGAACTGAAACAACACTGTCGAAAGTCCCTATTTTTGTGTTCTTTAGGTGGACTCATTATAACATAAACCCCACACTTCTAGAGCTTAAGTTGCCCACTTCTTCATGAAACCCCTCACTCTCTGAGCATGTGTACACGAATAGGTAGATACTGTGACCTTAAATGAAAGCAAGGAATAAAAATAGCCAATAGATGATATGATGATAAAATACTAACCAATAATTATATAGAGGCACGTGTTTCTGTGTTCAGAATCAAATAAAGATGGGGGGTGTGTGCAACAAAGTGTGCTGGCCACTTTGGATGTCTAGCACCCTTTTCTGCGCAGAACCGTAATAAATACAAATATCTCAACTCTGTGTATTAACTGGCTCTTTGCACACCAGGTGAAGAACCCATTTTTGGGGACAATAGGGGGAAAACATAGAGTGCTGGCCCTGCACACTGCCCCAAGCCCTCTGCAGTAGAGCCACCCCAAGCATGGCAGGGACACTGGGGTTTCGATAAGTGACAGGACAGGCTTGCGCCTGGAAGGTGCAGCTGAAGGAATGCTCCTTGCCAGGACTCAGTTTCCCCTTAGGGAGAAGGGGACAAGTGGCCTGAACCTCTGGTTTGGGTTTGCTGGAGGCCTGTTGCTGAAGTCAGTGCTTTGGGAGAGCAGACAAGAAGCTGCCAAGCAAGGATGTAGCACAAGGAGCCAGAAGGCAGCCATACCTCCTCTCCTCTGAGTACTGCTCACGTTTCTCTCCATCTGTTCTTGAGGTCGGTGTGATTCTTCTCTTATCTCCTTCTTGAAGAGGTCTGGCAACAAGGGGGAAAAAGAGCCACCCTCCCCACTTTGCCTTCAGTTAGTGACAAGCACATAGAGCAGAAGCCCGATGACCACCATGGCTCGGAAGAGCACCTCAACGAGAAGCAGCAGGACACCGAAGATGAAAATGGCCAGCAGCTCTGCCCAGCTCACCAGTGCTGCCAGCTGCATAGAGGCTCTGCGAAGTGATGAGGGAGAAGAGGATGAGAGCAGGGAGGAAGATCTGGGTTAAATTCCTCAAACATCCGGTGGGACGTCCCTTCTAGTGCAGAGACCCAAAGCTATGCCTTTATGCATTAGGGACGCTCTGTTTACCTAACCCCACACCAGAGAGGCTGCACCCTTCTGTTTCTGACAGATTAGGAAATGTCCCAACCTCCCTGGTGCAAAACCAAAACAAAACGTAGCACTAACACTGAGGAAACAGAAAGCTACTGGGCCCAATTTTTAGCGCTGAAGGAAGCCTTGAGGTGACCAGTTCCTGTGTTTCTCAAGGAGTTGCCTGCAGAGCTCTAGAGGGAGAAAGGCCACAAACCCTCCCCTCTGAAAACACATTGCTCCTCACACACGCTGACAAACTGCCTGTGACTTCTCCAGGGCCCCTGACTCCATGTAGCACCTCATGCTCCTCTTTCATTGAAGTTCCCCACTCCCAACTTTTGCAGACAGCTGTCCATACACCCACTTTCTTCTTTCCCTGCTGAACCACGCATAGTTTATCCAAGCCGCAGACTACAGAAAGCATCACAGAGCTTAAATTAATGTACACTGAGGCAGAGTAACCACAGGCTTCTCCCTCCGCCACCTTGGTGAAGTTTGGTCCAGTGCCAGGATAGACTAGGATTCCCATCATCCCAACACTGAGAAAATACCTGTCCTTGGCTTAGAACTTCTGTCAAAGAGGCTTTAATTTCTCTGCAAAGCACCTCACTCCAGGAGCTGTTGGCTGTCAGAGGTTAATGCATCCAGCCTCTACTTCTACATGTTTTTATTCCTGGCTAACAGTTGGTGAGTCGCTGTGAGCAGATAACCCTGAGGAAGGTAAAGCCTTATTATGGAGCTGAACCATTTGAGGGGGGGTGGGGAATCAGACTAGTTAGAAATTTTTCTAGCACACAGGCTGCGTAAGGGCAAACGGAACTGGTTTTGGGCCCTCCTTCCCTGGAATTAACACCGAGCAACTGGAGAGGCCCGACAAAATGCACCGTGATAGAAATGGCTGCTGTGGGGATGCCTCATGGCTGCCGGCCGAGGAGCTCTGCCCTGAGGGGGCACCGGGGGGGCCTCAGGTCCCTCAGGCTGCTCCGCTCCAGCAGCCGAGACTCCGCGAATGGCGACCGCTACCTCGGGAACTACCGCTCCCAGCATGCTCCGCGGCAGTCTGCCGCTCCCACGGTGCGCCGCGGGATGGGCGAGCCCACAACGCTGAGAGGAATGGGGGTGGACCTTCCGGACTTCCCTTCCACGCACGGTCCTCAGAGACCCCAGTGGGCTTCGCAGCTCGACTGTGGAGCTGCCGCATCCCGGCCCCGATGTCTGACAGGTGCAGCAGGGAGCGCCCAGGGGCCGCTCTTCCGACCCCTTAGCGTACGCGCAGTGAGCCTCCCCCCTCCGCCTCCCCATATCGTCCATACGCTCGGCGCCGGCGCTCCGCACATGCGCACTACCCCGCGGCCCCGCCCAACCGTGGCCCCATGCTCTGGGTCGCCCCTTCTCAACCGAACCTGCTGTCAGCGCGCCGCCTCCCTATTGGGTGGCGCTGCCGTGGCGCGGGGCGGGATTGGCCGCTGCGGCCAGGGGGGCGGGGCGGCAGGGCCGCGGCCCGGTGAAGCGGCAGTTCTCGGCGCGGCTGCCTCGCGGTCGGGCTCTCCAGAAGGTTCCGCGCCCGCTGTCGCGATCGAACCGTCGCCGCCGCGATGATGGGCCCGCGCCCTGTCCTTGTGCTTAGTGAGTGCCGCCGCCGGCCGGCCCGGCGCCCCGGGGCGGGGGGGCGAGGGGAGGGCTCCCCTTTCCTTCCTCATGTTCCCGCCGCCATGTTGGTCCCCCTCACGGCCGCCCCTCCCCGGGGCTTCGCTGGGCTCTGGCTCGCCCAGAGCTTCTCCCTCGCCGACTCTTCCAAGTCCCCCCAAGCTCTTCGCAGGTTCCCCCTAATGGGGGGGTGCCCCCTGCGCGGGGGGTCTCTAGGCATCGCAGCCTTCCGCTTAAACCTTTCTTGGCAGATCCCGACTCCCCTCACCTCTATTTCTGTGTTTCTTAACACGTTGCTTTGTGCTGTCCCGTTTGAGCCCATTGCGCTTTGTGGTTTTCTCGCTCCCCCCTGCTATGAGGTTTTTCCATGGGGGTCTCTTTCTGCTTGGGTTTCTCGCCCTCCGTCTGCTCAGGTCATCAGTCACCCAAGAACAGGCAGGCGGTTGTAGCTCATGGCCCCTTCGCTTTAGGCGTGCTTACCTTATTCTCGGTGCTGCTTTCCCTGTCGCTTTCTTTTGTTCTGTCTTAGAAATCTGTATGCGTGAACATCCATTCCTGAAATAAATCTGTGCTCATCCATTCGAGGCTTGTAATAAAAGAAAAAGCAGCTAAAGAGATTCTTTAGGGCAGACCCTTTTGGCAGTTAGTCCCCAGAGGTGGTTGTGTGTGGTACAGCAGTGGCTACTTGCCCTAATGTGCTAAAGGCCGAGCAACACTGGTGTATGAAACTTAATTTTAAACCTGTGTTTTTTGTGAGTATCTGTAACTTTTTTTGGACTGAAAACTACTATGCAGCATTTCCTTGGCTATGTGGGATCTTGCAGATTCTAATGAGTCACTGCTGTCTGATTTTCTTTGGGGAATAGGTTGTATTTCAGGGTTGCAAAGTTGAATTACGCTAATCAGGAATTCTGTTACAGTAAGGAATGTTGTTTTTCACTGACGCTCTTCTATGAATGTGCTTTCTTATGGTGGCTGTGGTATTTACATTATAAACACAATTTAGAACTGGTCACATATCAAGTGTGTGTGACTATCTTTGCTACATTGTCAGTATCACTGTTTCAGTCTTGGATTTCTTAGTAAGATCAGATTAAAGTTATATTTGTACTTAATATTTTAATTTTCTTGTTATGTGCTTTAGGTCAGAATATGAAACGTGAGTCTGGAAGAAAAGTCCAGACTGGAAACATCACTGCTGCTAAGGTACCATATTCTCATGTCAGGCTATTTTTTTTATTATTATTTTTTTGGTACTCTGTGTGTGTGTGTGTACTTATCTATTTAGGAGGGAAAACTGGATTTGAAGTGTGCTTTCTATAGTCTGTGAATCCAGAGTAGAAGCAGCATAGAAATTGAATTTTCAATGCTAGAATAATAGGTGCAATATAACTGAACACAGAGGGATTTAACCCACCAGTACCTCTTTCTCTGCAAAATTTGAAAGTGTATAATATTTGACATCTGATTAGATAATAATTTACTGTGGTGTCAGTGCCCTTAGATTCCCTGTGTTATCACTCCCAGACAGTGCCCAGTTTCTGCTACATTTAAGCAACTTCAGAGTCATTGGGTCACTTAAATTTTGCAGTGGCTGCTTGTTTCATATAGAGTATGTTTTTTTTAGACTTTTTGGTTCCCTCCTGTATTGCCTCATTTCTTTTGTTTGTCCTAGACTATTGCTGACATTATCCGAACATGTTTAGGACCAAGAGCGATGATGAAGGTGAGAGCTTTTGCTGAAATACCTGTGCTGTCTACTTATTAGAAACACTACACATATCATAGTTAAGTGCAAATATTGCTTCTCTTTTGGTTGCAGATGCTTTTGGACCCGATGGGTGGGATTGTG